TCCATTTGTAGCACAACACTTTCATAACACTTCTTTTTCTTCACATTTTTCCTTTATTTGGCAATGACAGTAGTCTGCTAATCACAGTTTACTGCACCAACTGATTTAGCAGTACAGCACATTACGGAATGCATACTGTATGAAGGCACTGAATGTATATGTTGCCCTGTGTTTTCTGGAATATTTTCCTTAATTTTTAAAGTTTTTCTTTCAGTGACTGTACAAATTCCAAAATGCATCGCAATGCATATTTTTTATGCCCTAAAATCAATTCAGTATGTTTTGATGTAAAAATAGAACACTGTACTGCTGTAATACTTGATAGATTAAAAAGGCTATAAAGTAATAGGAGCAAAGAGCAGATAATAGGGTCTCATTAAGCATCAGCAAATGCAAGTGTCATACTTAAATCATTTAGCATTTATATACTGTACATACTGTTCCTAACTGTCTTGCAAAAAGACATATGATAGCTAGACATTAAGTCACCAATTTCACAACAATGTCCACAAAGACATTGAAGTTCTATATAATACTACTATAACACTCTGACATTGAGAACGGAATTCATATCCAGGGATTCAGCTGAGGACTGCATAACAAATTGTCAAACCATGTCTTTATAGTGTACACAAGATTATCTGTGAGTTGTGTAGGGGTTCTTTTTTCCATGCATTATACTGTATTTTCAACAGGAAACAAAATTACAAGCTGTTTTTACCGTTTGTGTCAGTTCCTTTAAAAAAAAAGTAAAAAGACCCAAGTTTTGAACAAAATTTGAATTTTCTATTTTGATTCATAGTAACATACCACTTACTGTGTCATTATGCTGTGTACTGGTGTTAACCTGCATATTCTCATAGCGTTAACATCTGGTGGTGAGGAGCTCCATTACCTGTGTGTTCATAGTATGAGAAGGAGGATGTACAAGTGCTTTAAGCAAACTGGAGATACAAGGGGATCAAGTTCTGTGGTTACACAAATGAATTCATGGCATTTACAGGAGAAGGAGCCTCAGAGCTTTCATTTCCTTCTGCAGGTTCTTTCTCTTTTTTACCACTATATTGTCCAATAAAGGAGCCATCCTCATTGAACTGACCATTTACACCTTCTCCATAGTCAACTAAACTATCATCACTGTCTTCTTTTTTCACAGTTCTGTCTGAAGGTGTCCGGCTTCCTTTTTTTAGAGGTTTATGGTCCTCTGCATCGCTGGAGACACAAACAAACAAACATGGGATTAACGGATGTATTGTTTATTAAGACAAGAGCAGCCATGCATGCAGAGTTTATGAAAAGCATGTGTGCAGCCCTATAATCCTTTAGTAAACCCACATCACATTGTAGAGACAAATCAATATGATGTAGTTCATATGAAAACATGGTGTAAGAATGGTTTAAACAGAGAATGTCTTCAGTGGAGGGAGGGGGAGTTGTGGTTTCTTTTATTTTTTTTTTCCCCATCGTGCATGGCTTTTCAGTGATAAGACCTGGGCCCTTGGCTTGGAGGCCATGTAGATGCAGCAACTGCAAGCATTAAGAAGTGGGTTGTAAAGCTATAAAAAAATAATTTGTTTGTTCTCCAAAGGAACAAGCTTATGATGTGCTGTGAAGTTAGTCTGTTAAACTTCTTAATTTCTTTGACTCCTTGAAAATGAATGAAGAATGAATTTGGTTAAATGAAATATACTGATTTTCTTTACTAGTATAAAGAAAATAAAAGTGCTGCATTTCAAATAATTTGTTACATAATGCAGGCCAGACTTGCAATTTTCAACCTTACCTTTCAAGAGACCTACATATTCCATTAAAAGGGTGCAGAAGAAACAAATGAAAATAGCCTAAGAAGAAAAGCAAAGTCCATATCCTGATAGTGATCAGTATTGTATCAATAATAAGTAGCTCTTAAAATTTCTACAATATTTACTGTGTTACAGGTAAAGCAACAATTTAGCTTACAGTAGCTAGAATTGAGGAGTTGAGAGCATGCTTAGTCTTTTCATTTCTTATCAGATCCATCTCCCTACCCTACTCTATGACCGATAATGCTCTGACAATGATGATCGTGATTTGGAGGACAACACAAAAAGGAAAGGAAAGAAAGGCCAATAGAGGAGATGTCTGTAGCAAAGTACTGTGGTCTTTCCTTTGTCCGTGGAAAAGCTGCAGCACCATCAACACCCTCAAATAAACTGGCAACTGTGGTAGGCTTGTATTTCATGAAATAGATATAGTTGGGCTCTTTTCAGAATCCTTTACATTGCACTTCAGTGTCAAGATGAGGATTTCAGCAGCAGCTCCAAAGCATTTTGAATTGAAATCCACTATTGCCAGCTGCACTTTTGGGTGCAATTATTTACTTTGTCTTAAACAGAACATATGACTTGATTTGCATATAGGGTACGAAAAAAGGAAGTAGTTTGGGCTTTTTATTTAGATTCACAGTTTATGAGAAATATAAAGAAACATATATAAAATATTAAAGAAACAAAATTACAGTTTACAATTTCTAGAATACTAGGCTGAATATATACTCAGCAAATTATTTTAACCCTCTAATTCCTAAAACCTAATATCTTATAAAATAATGCAATTTTTTTCTAATTAATACTTTTAAGCACCCAGAGAAAACATATATATATACATATACATACATACATATATATATATATATATAAAAAAATCATAGGATGTACAAGGCCACATCAGATCATATAGTTAGCCAACAAAAGCTCTCTTGGAAACTGTTGCTAGAAAACCATTTTCCATCAAGCCATCCATTCTACACCCATTTTCCATCAAGCCATTTCTCCTCATCACCTTTTTTTTTGTTTGTTTGTTTTGGAAAACACTAAGTTATAAAATTCTAAAAGAAGGACAACTCTAATATGCATATACTTACAGAAAAAGCATATCAGAGATTTTATCATTCTGCATATACAGCAGAAAAAAAGTGGTAGGAATATCTCTCTTATTTACGTGCAAGAAAATCCTCATGCTCAAAGCACACAAAAGCAAAACCTCCAAATGTGACTGTATCAGGCTTGATGTTTTACTTATTGTGGTGTACAAGGCACGAGGATAAAAATCATTGATCTGTGCTCACTGGTGCTGCAAACATACAGGCCAGTAACATTTAAAAGACCGTACTCCAAAACTTCAAGAATCCAGCAGCAGAGTGAAAATGTTTGTAACACTGTGAACACAAGCAGATCACAGAGACATTACTGAAGAGAGTTCATTTTGGAAGGACCCCGTATTTAGAAGGCTGAAGTTGGAATCCAGTATTTAATACTCATACACACTGTAGTTTCTCCAATGCCTCCATAAGAAGGTATTAACAGTCATTAAAGCAGGCTGCACAAATCAAATGAAGGCCAGGCCCTTCTTTTGAAACTGTAACCAGTCCTACTCCCAGGGAAGATCTGCTTTCTGGGTTAGACTGTTAAGGAAAGAGCACTGGGTATATGGTTTATTGTTTAATTTCAGGTGAATAACTTCATAATTCTTTACACCACAATACAAAGAAATTAAAAGAAATGAAAATTGCAATTGTATCATATTCTGATTGGTCATGAATCTCTGTGCAAATATTCTAAAGTATGACCCCAGCCAGTGTAATTCACTAGGTTGGAATATACTTATATAAACAATATGCCTCTACTGTATAAATGCACCAACATTTTAATCCAACGAGAAGTTCGATTTGCCATTACAATTCAGAAAAATCTGAGTATGAGAACTTCTGCTTTGTGTTGCTCTTCTGGTTTTCTTATTTATATTTCTGCAAACAAAGTTTATGCATAAGACAAACAATGAAGAAATACTTACACAGTGGGTTGCACTGAGTATAAGATTTTTCTATATTTTAGTCAGGATGTGAATTCTACAATCTCTATAATTAAAAGCAAAAACAACTGCAGATTTACCCAGCAGTGTATGTACATGGAAGTGGGCACTGGTGTGAGAGCACAGTCACAGCAAATCCAAAAATCAAATCAAACCCGGGGATTCCTTCACTTATTGCACTATATAAGTCTAGAGAGAGGTTCTGCCATGACTCTGGTAGTGGAAAAACAAGTGGGATTATCCAAGATGCTTTACACTCCTGGTTCAGAAAAGATAACATATGCCATGGTACCATTTTTTCTGTATCAAACTGGATTATGACTCTTAGATTAACACAATGTTTTGTGTGGAAAAGAAAGAAATTGAGGAAAGATGAAAAAACCAAACAAATAGGAGAAGGAGAAAAAAGTGAACATATCAATGTTTTGGACAACACTTTTGCTACCCTGGGGATTCAAAAAAGAGGAGGAGCTCTGGTGGTCTGGCAAAATGAATGTAATATCTGTTTGTTGCCAAGAAGCAAACTGCAAAAGCTGCTGAATTACATTAGGAAGAGCTATAGAACACTTTAGGCTGCAGAATTTTTATAATATTATATTGCAAAAACATGGTAAAGCCATAAATTTTGTACCCACAAGGTTTGCCAACCTTGCTTACACCTGCTCATAAAACTATTCCAAAATGCAATCAGGATAAATCATAGTTTCTTTCTGTTTCTGTTTGTGGTTTTGCTTGCTGACTTTTATTATGTACCTAGTGTAATATTGTGATATTAAAAAATGAGTCAATTGTGTTGACTAAAATTACAGTGGCAAATTGAAGAAGCTTTTTTAAAGTTTCATTTATGCAGCACATCTAATTAATAGTCAGAAAACAGTACTGGAAGGGAACCAAACATGAAGTGAGAGTGCTTTATTTAGAGCCATGGAAATTAAGTGTAGCCATACTTTTACTATTTTTTGCTGTAAAAATAAATTCCATACTAGTATTTTTTTAGGGATGAAAATTTCACAAAGAAGACTTATATGTATCATTCATTTTGATAAGTACTTATATGTACCACATACACTTCAGTAAGAAAAGTGTTTACTATTAAAGCATATTCTAAAAGCATGATTTAAATATTAATCATTAATGACTGCTATTATATGAATGTTTCTCTTCTTAGTTTGATGAAACACATATCAAACTTGAAGTTAGTTATTAAGAGACATAAGAAGTATGAACGTAACAATAGCATAAGTGCAAAATACAAATTTATTTGTTTTAAAAAAGTAATTCCATTTCACAAGCTTATCAGTTATTGAAAGAAATATGTACCTTGAAATCTCCTTTCTTCTTTCAACTTTTCAATTTTTCTTCCTTAGATATGGGTACATGCAGCAACCAGTCAGAATGGGGAAGACACTTTTATGATGCCTCTGCAGTCCAGCAGGCAACTAGTTCCCAACTAAACTTTGCCACATTCATAGACATGCAAAAAGACTCAATATATGGTTAGCAATATACTACTTTTCCTTACAGCACAACTGTGAAGTGAAAGGCAACATGAAACAAAGTGGGTAAAACATTCTGGGCTATGAGACACAGAAAGTGGATGCAGAAGATGAAAACGGTTGGCACTAAATTCCTTTTTCTGTGACCTCAGGTCAATAGCCCAGAAATGTTTAAATAAAAGCTAAATATCAGGTAAAGCCACAGAAATACCTTCCTCTGTGGCTTCTCTGCATACTCCAGGAGAATCTGTTCCCACACCTAAGAGGTTTCCGCTGATACTCCTAAATTATTAGGACTGAGAGTCCTAATGTTATTACATTCAATCCAGACTTCAAGCCATTTTACTATTTCTTATTTAAGCACAACTATATCAGTCTTCTGAGTAGTTTTTCATTAGCATATCTGTAATACTCAATCTTCAGTCCTGGCAGAAGCTGGAAAAACTGGGTGATGACGCTCTGGCTTTAAAACGCAATGTACTGAAAGTTGTTAGTCACTCAAGTATTCCAGAATTAAAACAAGAATTGTCAAAGAAAGTACATGTGCATAAATTAGAACACAGTAAGACCACTGCCAAATCCAGTTGGACTGTTCAGCTCTTCAGATAATCTCCACTGAGATAATCTCTTGTCCTGGAAGGGACCAAGCTTAGAATTACAGTCCTGAGGCACAAATCATGACTAGGTCCCTATAGAAACACACCTAAGCTGCAAGTTAAGTAACTACAAGAGAAAAACCCTACACTTGTAGTTACAAACTTTATTTTAATTGTTAATCAACTCAGAAAAAGAAGAAAGAGTAATATATTATCTAGCAATCCCAGAACTCTCTGCCACAGTGACTCACAGCATATCCTAGAATTTCTAGATAAAACACTGTGTGTCAAAATATTGAAGAAAAGAGGCAAAATAATTCACCAAAATGTGCAAATATCCTGAGTTACCACAGTAGCAATTCCACTATTGTATTTGCCTTGTCCTGTTTCATCTTCCTAAGAACATTCTGCAGACCACTGGACTTCCAACTTTCCCTTGTAATTGCTTGCTTCCAGTTTTCCTACCCATGAACTCACAGGTCTGTAGCTGTCATAACTTCTTAATTTCTCTCCATTTATGGACCAGAAGAGAAATTTAGGCTTATTTACACCTATGCTGATCTCAACACACATCTGTGGTACTTCTTCTGTTGCTTGCAGGTTCTTGGTGTAGACAATGACTGTCCACAATTTACTGTCTCAGTCTTCTACAACTCAGAAAACCACTGATGGTGCAGAGCAGATTGCTACAGAGGCACTGTTTTTCCTTATATGTAAAAATGAAGGAATCCATCCAGTCACAGGAATATAGCAGCCATAGCCATTCCTTAGTTCCCAAAACACCTGCATTTCCTAAAGCATTATTTCTTTCATTAGATCAATATAGCAGAAAAATCTGATGTTGTCTGGTCTTACAGACCAGCCAACTCTCACATAGAAAGTATTCTCTCAGTTGAAATTGAGGAGTGCAAAACTTCAAACAAATCCAAACCATCCAAAGACCACTAGAAAGACTAGAAATCTAATGTAAAAAACCCTCCCCTAAAGAGAAGGGATTTGAGAGCTATGATTTCTCTAAAATATCTTAATTAGTCATTAAGATTTAAGTAACTTCATAATTTAAATCTTACTTGGGAACAACTAATTTTCTAAGCACTGGGTTTATTTGTTCAGAAATATTGAAACATTTCCATGTCTTTCACTCTTCTCAGTTCCTGTGAAACTAGGAAGCAAGTCTATGTTCTTAGAAAGTTCCTCTTGATGGTCTGATATCTCTTTGAAAGTGAGATGTCTTTTCATACTTGGCATGAAATGAATGTGAGACCTTATACTTTCCCTTCCCTCCTTTGAACTTTGGAGGAGAACGCAAGGAGCTCAGACACTTGTGAGAACATGAAGAGCTTCCAACAGAGCTCTTTTTTTTCATCTGACGTAAGGAGTGCTTGTGTTCTGAGGCATCTTGCATGATCTGGACTAAGGATTCACCAAACAGCTTGCCCCCTGTGTATGGTAAAGACAGCAGCTTACATTTCAGATCTAGTGATGGGCTCCAAGGACGCAGCCAGAGAGCTCTCCAGGCTACAGTGAGGCATGCCACATTTTTAACAGTGAGTCTAAGAGAATCCTCAGCTGCATCATGGATAAAATTAGCTGCAATTTTACACAGCCTGCGTTTTCTCTGCATGGCACCAGATGGGACCCACTTCTTTTTGAATCTAGCTTGTTCTTCCTCTAACCATATTAGCAAAGCTTTAGAAGCATAAGTGCAGTAGATAGATACTCCAAGCTGGGCTGCAGCTAGCTTGAAAGATCTTTTAATTGCTTCCTCAATCTTTCTGTCAGTAGGATCTTTAGGGAGAGCATCTGTATTATCAGGCACTGACAGTACACAATTACCAGTAACCAATGCTCTGTCTACCTCAGGCAAGGTCCCCCACAAAGCAGCTTTATCCACTGGAAAAGGATAGAGCTTATGTAGGACTGGTGGGGCTTCGTGCTTGGCTTCAGGATTTCTCCAAATCCTGCAGACAAGATCTTCCACAGCTGAATGGATAGGAAGTGCATTATCTACCTTGCCTTCTTCAGAGGCACATTCAGATTTGGAAGACTTTAGCATTAGCACCTTCTTTATGTGTTCAAAAAGGTAATTCTGATTCTCCATGTCAAATTTACGTAGAGGATCTGGTCCTTCTGGATCTTCTGTAGGGAACTCAGATGCCACCTCCCCGTCTTCAGGGGCTGATTCAACCTCTAAGGCCTTGTCAGCCTCAGGTTTGTCCTTCCCAGAAGTTGTTTGATCTTTTAAGCTGTCCATATGATCAAACTCAGAAATCTGGGAACTGCTCCCAGATGCTTCTAAAGGAACCAGTGGAACTTCTGCAATTGGTACCCTGGGATGCTTCACTGAATGGGACCTAGCCTGTGCCACAGATGTTATGCTTTGTCTGGCTGCTGTCAAAGCATCCTTTAAGACAGTGGCCAGCTCAGGCAAGATTATAGATTTCATTAGTGAATTCTTTTCAGATTCGGAGAAGTGAGTAGCAGCAGAAGGTCTTACCTTCCTGTGGCAGGAGCTCTGAGTGTCTTCTGAATCTGAGCTGCAGTCTGGGGTCTGGCTGCACCAGTGCTGGAGAGAAGAATGCTGCCTTCCCAGTAAGCCACCAATTGAGTTGCAGCTGAGGGGTTGCTGGAAAGGGGATGGCTGTCCTGCCTGAGAATCTGAGCCCTCCTCCGACCCCATTATGTGTTGCTCAGAAGCATGATGTCTAGAGCCATGCCTGTACTTCCATCCGTCTGACCTCTTTTCCTCTTGGCAGAGGGAAGCAGAGACAGAACTAACCCTTGTAAGCTCTGAAGACTGCCTAGCCCTCCTCCTGGTGTAGGAGGTCTCTGATCTGGTGCTGGAGTATTGATCCCCTGACCTTCTGAAGAAGTTGGATCTGTCAGATCTCACAGACTTTGCTTTGGTAAAGACAGGGTTTGCTTCAGGAGAATTGGCACAGCTACCTTTTGTTCTCCTTTCCTTGTCCAGTTTCTTTCCTGTCCAAGCAGACATGGACCTGAAGTGATGAAAAAAGTTCAAAACACTCGAATTCCTAGATCTTTCAAAAATTACATTTTTTCCCAAGGGAAACCCTATACCCTTTTTCCTCAAAGAAGCACCGCATCATGTGAGGCAGACAAACTGGGAACTGAGTGACTGCAGTGATGCTGGGCTGCAGAGAGGATGACAAGGTATCTTCTGTAATCTGACTGGTTGCTGCTCCTGCCCTGTCTCTAAGGAAAAAAGAGGAAAGCCCAATATAGACTAATTACACAGAAATACATTTTAAAAAGGAGTTTTTGCAGGGTACATAGAATGAACTCTCCCGTGTGAATAAGTGTGAAAGCTTGGCATGCATCTGCCCATATTCACTAGACATGAGTGAATAAATGCATTATAAAATAATTTAATAAAGTTCTAGGTCATTCTTTAGATTAACTCAAGCCACTTAAATATGAAGATGTAAATTCAAATCTTGCTATAGGTCACACATGAAAGCAGGCTTGAATACTTATTCCAGGCCTGAGAAAACATGCATTGAGGTCATATCATTTGTACAATTCTATACAAAGGTCAGTTTCCAAATATCAAGAACCAGTAGAGCAATGAAGGAGTATGCAAACTAGGCTTCCCAGGAAAACTTATATAGTACTTTTTAAACTCTATTCCAAAGATTGCTTCATACTTCCCTTTTTATCAGGTGAATTTAGGTAATTTATATGCACTTACACATGTAATAAAATACTACTCTGAACTCATTAACCTAAAAATGGAGTACATTGTTTTTAATCAAAGAAGAATAAACAGAAACTGCTCCTTAGCATTCAGAAATGTACATCTAGTCCCATCAGATCAAGATGTACCTTTTCCTTCTGTGAAGAAGCTATGGCAACAAATTAGATTCTTCTGGGAAAAAATCTGCTTTTTTCTATATACATTTGTAAATGCCAAATGTTTGCAATAATAAAGAACTTCTACACTGCTTCGGACACAAGAATGCACTACAAAATCTATTTCATAGCCACATAACATACAATCATATTGACCTATTTAGAAAATAATAACATTATTTTTGTACTAATAAAAAACCAAATAAACTGCTTATTTAATAAGCTATATTCATAGTTGTTGTATGAATATTCTTGCCAAGGCATGCTTTTGGTAATGTCAGGTTTGGCTAGTATAAAGGAAGAGTGTCAGGAATAAGAGCTGTGTTGCATGCTTTGAAGCTGCTTGCCATATATCTTGTACTGAAATACATGAAGGGGAGTTTTTCTTTCTTTGTAGGGCACTTCTTCACCTCTGTTATTGGATTAGATGTTAGTACTGGCAGGTATTTTAAATGCATTTGTTTTCCAGTCAAATTAACACCAAGTTGTCTCTGTTAGGCTTCAGTTAGAAACTTATTTTCAAAACCTATAATGCTCAACATGGTGCCCTAACTGAAAGGACACTGCATCAGGCATTTGAATATATACAGTTGTGTTTGAACACACACAATTGTGTTTGAATGTGGTTTTCACCTTGCATTAGCAAATGGCTTATACTAAGCTTGGATAATTTTTTTTTAATGGTGTGGTTGAAATGCTATTTTTAGTTCTAAATAACACTGGATACAAAATCTTTGACATGGAAAAAAAAGTTAGTCTTCAATTAATAAGTGTCATACTATAAACAGTACATGTGTGACATGAACAGTGAACATGACAAACCACATAAGCTGCTCACCTGTATTCACCAAACGTTCCATCATCTTCCTTCATAGGTTGTATTTCTGGATCAGCATGTGCATCCTCCTTTTCCTTCACTAAAATATTTGAAATATTAATTTTTACAATGAAACTGCAAGATGAGAAAGTCTAAGACCTTAATTTCTCAAACTGATTGCATTTGTCTTTTGAATAAAAACTATTTTTTATTCAAATATTTAGGATATTACTTTTTTTTAAGAAAAAGATCTGTTAATTAGTTATAGGGTTTTATTTTCATTCAAGTATGACTGTATGTAATTTTGTATTAGCAGAACTTTTTCTTTTTTTTTTCTAGCATTAAAGAGAGAAAATTGTTTAAAATCCTACTAAAATAACTTATTTACTGAGACTATTAATAGAGTTACTGCTTAATCAAATTTGAATTATTTAGTTCTACTTAACAATGCTCTCTATTTCCTCTTGATATTCTTCTCATACTGATTGACAAAACTGAATCTGATTCACTTTTGTTCACTGTCAGTTTGTACATTTTCTGCTTTAATTTCATGTAGTTATCCTCCAGAGAATTTAAGATTTCTTTTTCATTATTAATAATTCTCAAAATACTAGGCATGGTTTGTTTCTTCTTTTCTACAATGTGATCAAACCCAGCACAAAGTCACATACACTGGAACCTAAATTTTACACAATTGTATTTCTTGCACATTCTGGTTTTAGGTTTAATCCTTGTTCCCTGGTAGGAATAAATCTAGGCATATAACTTCTCCCTATAACATAGTAAATGTAGCATATTGACACAGAAACCCACTAGCACCTGAGGAGTCAGATATTTTCAGATGACATATATTCCTATAAGTTAACATTGTTGACAGGATAAAACAATATAGTGACTGTAAGAATTCTATTTATAGTTCTTCCTTTTGCCTTTTCATTTCTGTTTTTCTGGCATCTATTCAAATCTTTCCCTTGTCTAGCAGATACAGTCATATAATCCAATACACAATCTCTTGTCTTTTACTCTGGTAATTTCCACACTTTATTTGCACATCACTGATTTGTGTGCCATTATTTAAGAGGATATTAATCATTCCTGACAGTACTTACTAAGTCCATAATTGCAATAACATGTAACATCTTGAGACATATCAGGCTGCTATAATTTCATACTGAAGTAATGGATTACTTCCTACAAACCACAGCAACCTCAAGATAACACACAAAAATGATGATGAAAGAGTTCACAACTTAAATTTTCATAGATTTTATAACTTAGTGCTTTCCATTTGTCACTACCTGTGGAACAGTACATTTGCAATGGCCCAAGAAATACAAATTCACTGCTATAAACAGCAGTACATACTGATTCTGGAAATCTTAAAGTCCAGGTCCCCCTTTATATATGTGTCTGTATATGCATCCAAATTCACTGCTATAAACAGCAGTACATACTGATGCTGGAAATCTTCAAAAAAGTCCAGGTCCCCCTTTATATACGTGTCTGTATATGCATAAGTATCTGTGCATGAAAACATGTATACCTTGCAACTAATAATTCTGCAGAAGCAGCAATATCAAGGGTACACAAAGTAATGACAACCTTAGCATCCAACTGCCCTCTACACTTTTATTTAAAATGTCTGTTTTACCCTCCTCTAGATGGTGGTTCACTCCATGTCCTCCCTACTCTTTTCAGTTTCATCACTTCACTTGTTTCAGTCATCTGAATCACTTTTTCTATATCCTCTGTTATCTCATTTTCTCTAAAAAAATCCAAATATTAGGCAAAACCCCCTAAGATGGTGTCTGCAGCCTGTCATAAAACTCTATGTAACATTATGTATTCCTCAATAATCTGTTTTATTCATAGGCATATGCAGTTGGAACAGAAAATTCTCTTACCCAATTTTTGCTGTCACTACAAATCTTTGCTCTCTCTGTAAAACAATCTAACAGTTAGATTGGGTAGAATAGGATTCTAGTATTTAATAACGTGATTCTCACATAAAAATCATCTGCTATTCTATTCCAGCAGATTTTCCTATGAAGACCTGAAGCTCTTAGTGTTCCCTGACACTAAGTTTTTAGAAGTTCACTGATCAAAATAAGCAGAAGAAAATAAAACAAAGTGGCTTTTTCTTTTATACTTTTCTAAACGCATCCATCTTTTTCATGCCCAAATTAACAGTATGAACTTCAAGAAGTTTGAGCTGACTTTAAATAAGCATTCTAGAGTCTAGATATTTATTCCCAAACCTTAGGAGAAAACTATTTTTTCATTAAATCAAGATTTTACATGAAACTTAGTAACTGTACTTTTTATTGCAGCTAGAATAGGAGAGTGAAAAATCAGATTATCCTTGGATGTTCACTTGAAGTTCATTCATAGTCACTCACACCTCAGCAGCTGCTCTGTTGGCAGTACTTTCTGGCAGTACTGTTCAGTACTGGTTCTCACTATCCTTTTCAAGAGAGCTTTGGCCTATGGAGCTACTCCATAGAAAGAAATATAACACTAAGGAAAGATATATATGATACCTATATGTCCACACACATACATACACATACATGCCTTTTGTAATGCACACCAGGAGAGATGTATGTTTTGATAGAAGGCAGACATTGTCTAATTACCATTTTTAATGAAAAATTATAAAATACTTGGCCACTCCTAGATATACTATAAAAATCCATTTATTTTACACCTCCTCTTAGAAAGAAAAAATATAGAAAAAACCCCAGCCTAATTGAAGGATGGTAACTTTAAACTTAGCTGCAAAACTACAGAGGCTGAAGACGACACAGATTCTGGGAAGAACTCAAGGAATTGGAAACAATATAACATAGGAAGAGATTTGTCCTATGACATGTATTCCCCACAGGTTAAAGTAACCAGTAGCTATGATTTAGACTTTCTGACCAAATAAATTCTAACTCAACTCATGTTAGTGGATTAAACCCATCTGCATTTGACTTCAGAAAGTGGAATGTGCACTAGTGGTGATGTTCCAAACAAAGCTCAAACCTCTCTAGAGAGATCATTCACTGAGGACTCTCTGGGAAGTAAGTCCTTCTCCTATGCTGAAATAGATGTAGGTTTCCTACCAACAGGGAGATGGCTCCTGCCAAGCCCACCAAATGATAAGACTGATTTGCCATATACACAGTGTAAATGTAAAGCAGCAGCAAACGTAATTTTACCTAAACAGGTAAGCCTGAGATCTGTCTTAATGGGTTACCAACAGATGAGCATACCTGGATACTTGCCACCCTTATTCCTCCTTATGAAGCACACAATCAGTAAAATCAAGATCAGAAGAGCAACAGCACACATAAGACCAATGAACCATCCTTGAGTAGCGATGTCCACCTGCCGGCTTGCCATTGCTAGGGGTAAAAGAAGAAAAATTACATTTTGCTGCATTTCAATGCTGTGCTAATTCAGACAAATAACAGACAATATAACGTTCATTAAAGAATAAGACTCACTGTGAAAAATGGATAGCATTAACAGAAACAGTGATTCTGTATTTTCTGAGTATTTCCATTATTTAGAAAATTTCCCAGTACCTATGCACAGAAGTTAGTTTTCAGTATATAAAAAGTCTGCTAACATTTAAGCTTAGCAACTACTCTGCAAAATCTACACACATATTACATTGCTTTCCACAAACCTCAAAACTATTCTCAACCATTTTGAATTAATTAAACTCCTGAAATGAAGTTGCCAATTATAGTTCACACAAATATGTCAATTGCATTCTCAAAATGAATTAAAAGCCAATACTGCTAAGCTAATGCATTTCCATCATTCTGAAATGGGGACACAGATCACTCAAGCGCCCTAACATTAAATTTCAACTAAAAATCAACAATAAAGCACCCTTTAAAACTTTATTAAGCATCAGGTTTTCTTTCTTTACTCAAACCCATACCTCATTCTACAATTAATTTATCATGATTGCCATGATTTAGCATTAGTGAGGTGGGAAGCCTTCCCTTGGCATTATTTCTCTCCAAATGCTGACTCTAGCTGGAAGATAATGTAAATAATAAGCAAACTACAAAGAAAACACTACAAGCACTAATAAGACAAGGAATTAACTATGTGGTCTAGGGTCTGGATCTACTGGTCTCCAACACAGTAGGAGAATTATTCTGGTGAAGCTTATTTTCTGCTCTACTGCTGGAAACACACTACAGGCAACTTGATTTAGGATTAGCTGCTGGGAGAAAGTGGGAAGAGTGAGAGGAGTTAGGGATACATGCTCCAAACAAAAAAATATGAAGTGAAGGAAGATGAACATCCATCCAAACCTATGTTATTCATTCTTCAACTTCTTCTCCACACCCAAAACCGAAGAGTATGAAACTCTGTGAAGAGCTGCTCAACTGACAGAATTCAAGCCAATGTCTCAGTGTCATTTTCAAGTTAAGGAGTGTGAGACAGGTATCTTGGAAAAGGAGTCCATGGTCCCACAATCCTTAGGGATTCCACAGAAAGTAGAAAGTACTTCCAATGTCTGGATACAGTATCTCCAGTCCATTCCATACAGAAGACCAGTGTCTTCCACTTCAGAAGTACTATGATAAAATTAATTCTCTTTAAATGCTTATTTTTGGCCTTTCTGGGTAAAGCTATGACTTGATTTTCATTTAAATAATTCAGTGAGTTAATGTGCCTGGTTATTGTGGAGCGAAAATCAGAAGATTTCTCAGTCCTTGTTTATGTTTTCTGATATTTTAGAAAGTGACTCTCATACACACAAGAATTTAAACTGTTTTTGCATCAAAGTCTCTACATGTCATATATAGTTTATATACCTAAATATTTCTACTCTTTATGCCACATATAAATATGCATAAACACACATATATATAAAAATATTAAAAAGTGTCAATTAAAAAATCACAAAATTAATCTTCCTCTGAACTACAAATGAAAATAAACCTTTGTTTTCATATTAAGGTTTAAATTATTTTGAGTTTTGTGCATCTGCATCCATAATAGGACATTAGATGTTGTAACAAAATGTAAAAGCACAGTTCACATTCAAATGTAGTAAGAAATAGAATCAAGCCAAAAATTCATTCATAAAAATATGCAAGATAGATGGGAAGATGAAAACTTACTTATGCAGCTTCCTGTATTAACTTACAACATTTCCAGTAGGAAAGGGTTTCTAAATCTCTGTGCATCTTTAAAAAATGCACATTTCCTGCCTACACTAAGCAAATTATTTGCTTCAGGCAGAAAAACCTTGCATCTTGGTGAACCACTAATGCAGGAGTCAATGAAGAACACTGTACCAGGAATGCCCAAAAGGATAAGCCTGCACACTTTGAAGATGCTCTGTAGGAATGCTTGACAAAGAAAAAATGTGGGAAAAGCCTAATGTTTGAAATATCAAAGTTTCATTCCTAATACGGACATATTCCAGTGTTTGCCTCTTTGTCTACTCCACCATTTTGCAGTGTTTAAAAGCTTTGATCTAGGTTGAAGACAGTGTGACATAAGATTTTTTTGTAAGAAATAGGCTGTTTATAATTTCATGCTGAACATTGAAACTTTCCATTACCAAGAAGCAGAAAGGAGTGTCTAAAGTCCCTTCTTCCTTAATTACACAGGGGCATGAGTAAACACGACTGGGTAAGTACAGGAATCCTTATCTACTGGCTCAGTACTTTTTATGCAGGACTATGCTTTTGGAAAGGTTTCCATGCATCTTGTTTTGAATTATATTACAGTCTTGATCCTTGTTAACTGCTACTTTAGGCTTCAGATGTGTATTTGCATAACATTTCACAGGTAGGCTTTTGTACCACTAGCTGTTCCTGGCTTTGTGTTCAGCCTGTACATATTTGCCTGGCACTGCTATTCAGCACCATGTTTTCAAACCTTCCTGCAACATGATAAACTGTGAACAGGAATGGAACAAATCAAAGCAAAAAAATTATGATTTTAGAAAGTGCTCACTTTCAAACCGGCATACCCATTACCAATGTTGTTGCCTGATAGTTATAACATAATGTTCAAGTGTATTTTCATATTTCAATTACTTTCTTATAACATAACATTCTGGAGTTGATGGGGCTACTGCTGTATAACTATGCACTGGCTAAAATGCTTGGAATGAGCAGAAGTGGCTAGCAAAGACAAAAATAATAACAGCTGACCAAGAACATGATGATGGCATGGCATGTGATGGCAACACAATATTCAGCATAACATCAAAGAACCTTCCAATAGAACCTTATTCCTGAGTATAATTGGCAGGCATTGCTGATTTGCTTACAAAGAAATAGGATTGCAGTATGAACATAAAGAACTTAAACAGCCTTACTGATTCCCAGGATGTATGTGTAACATCAAAATCCATATAAAACTTTTATATGGCAGGAAAAGAGAGATTTACAAGAGGAATGTCTTAACACTGATATAAATAGATTACATGAGACAACAAATTGAATCTGCACTTTCTGATTATGCAAATATTTTAGCTCTATAAAAAGCAACATTATTTAAATACAGCTATGAAATTATACTAATTACAAATATTAGAAATAGGTCATCTTCAGTGCACAGCACACAGATGGAGTGTGGGCAGGGCATATCTTGCCCCTAGCACAAACATCAGCCAAGTAGAGTGATTTGAAAGGATGGAAACATTCATAATTCAAACACAAATAAACTGGCATTATTATTTAGGCATTTATAAAATAATTTAACATTGGTCTATGAAAGGAACATGCAAAGATTCTAGCTGCAACATCTCTTGGCTAGAAGCAGTTTGGCATTTCAGCAGTTGGTCTAACACAATTTTGGCTGGGATACAGAAATGTACTACGGTACAGTACGCCTCACCTGGACCTGTCTCAAACACATCCTCTGCACTCCTAAAACCAGACAGGCCCTCAGCACCAACCCGGACTTTATATGCTGTTCCTGGTGTTAAACCCTTTAAGACAAAGAAGCTTCGAGAACCATTTACAATTTCTTTTTTCCAATCTTCTTTGCCTATAAAAATTTTAGGAAAACAACAAATCGGTATTTTAATTTTATCTGTATTACTGAAAGCTTCTAGACAAAATACTACTGACAGTTACTTGACTAAACTATGGATCATCTGAGAAAAATAGTTGTTCTCTCAAAAATAATTATATAAAATTATGAGTAATAAATTGCATGCAACATATTGAAGAATTTATTGTACAGTAATTATGAAACTATTTTAAACATTTGTTCCATTGTACTAAAGGAATAAAAATTTAATTTATTTTTAAAATGCTTATTGAGGTTGTAATTATGAGATACATTAAAATAGATTTTAGTCATTTTATTAAATGACACTTGCAGTTTCAGTCCATATTTATTTTGGTCAAGAAGCTCTACTTCAAAGTCTGAATCTCTCTTATATCTTTTTTTCTAGGACAGTCTCAGCTATTTCTTTGGCCAATATCAAGAAAAATGCATTTCTATTCCAATTTTCAGATTAGTCACCTTTAGTCATAACTTTAGAAGGATGCGGTATTTGAAAATAAGTATCTTGCCTTTATTAGCTTTGTTCTAATTATTACCTGTATTATCAAAGTTTTAAACCTGGTTTTAGGCAATAAGAGCACATAAATTGTTTCATATTTTATTTTAAGGTTTAATTTAACAAAGAATATATTATTTAATCTTTTTTCTTTCCTGAATTGGGCATAATTTAGGAAAATCCTTGTATCCTATTTTAATGCAAGTAATCATATTTTTACACATGTAATCACTTCACAATAAACAACTTCATGCAAACTATGTTTTCAGAAGTTCACGTTCAAAAGAATTTATAAAATAATACAAAGGAACAAAGGTTCATATTTATCTATTCATCAAAAACCTGCTAAGCATTGATGTTTTTTAAAATGAAAATTATGTGATCTTCCTGATCAAATTATAAAATAATTTAAGACATTTAAGAGCTATCATTAACACTGGGTCAATTTAAGACCCCATTTACTATAAAAATCTTTCAAAATACATCTCAAAACGTTAGCAGAATTTAATTAAATGACTTCTTACTGCCTGCTACACCATATTCAACATAAAAGTTCGCATGATCTGGTCCCTCATACTCCCAACTGATATTGGCATAGGTCTCAGCAGCAGCTGTTGTAACATTTCTGATCCTTGGATAAAGTGGTTGAACTAAATACACAACAGAAAAACAAAGCAGAATATGCAGTTGTGACTTCATACATTTAAAAAAAAATATTAAAAGAAGTTACTATGTTAATTTAGACCATATAGAGGGAAAGTATAACACATTTTTCATTGGTTCCATTACTGGAAATTAGTGAAGTAATTTCCAGTATTGTACTGTATTTTTCCAGTAAAGTACTGTATTTTGAAATTTAATCTCAGGCAGTTACTACACTAAGAAATAGTCAAGTCTATGTACTTTACTGAGCATGCTCTGTACCACAAAAACTGCCAAATACTTAAAAAAGTACCTAACTGCCAAAATTCTGAAAAACATTATTTCTATTCATCTGGAAGTAAAATGCAGACAGCTGGAAAGAGATGAGAACATTGTCAGGGTAATGGGAAATGGTAGGACAGAAGGGAGGTATGAAGGTGGTACGCTCCTCCCTTTATGGCATGTGGCACTGAATGGACTGCAAATGCCCCAAGTGCAAGCCCTTATAGGATTTTGGCTCTATTGCATGGATAGTGATAAAAAAGGAAGACAATACCCTTATAGAATGTTGGACGGACAGTATGCATGACTGGGGAAGTTGCAAAAAGGATTTCTGAATATCCTTCACCATCAGAGATAGTAGGAAAGAAAAAATAAAGAGTAAAAACATTTTGCATCAAAAGGTAGCAATTAACTAATACAGTAAAACCTTACCTGTTAAGCAAATAACACATGCACATTCTAAGATCATGCAGGTTTCAAATAGTTTACTAGTTAAAATATGAAACAGCTAAGTGATACACATGTATTTGAAAACAAACTGATGTATGTACTGGCAGCTTTGCTTTCACAGGACATTCCTGAAATCAGCTTTTGTTAATATTATGCATTCGTGGCCCCTTTAGACACTGCAAAACTAGACATGAGGTATGGGAAAGCCAATGTGAAAGTACTCTGGAGTGAAGGACACGAAGGACTGGAATGCAAGGAGCTGCCCATTGTAAGGCACTGTGTCTCACTGCTGCCATTCTGGTCAGACAACAGCACTTCTCACAGACATGCAGAATGCCCACATCTGTGGAAAGAAGAGCTTCAGCATTCTGAAATTAGCCACTTCTCTGCTCAGACCTTTGTTCTTTTTTCATACCTTAGCTCCAGTAATGCTTGGTACAAATGGACATATAGCTCAGTGTCTGCTTGCCTAAGACTAATGAAAAAATAGATTTTAATAGTTCTAATGCTGTAATAGGGCAGACACAAAGAGGATGCTCCTCAGAGGTATGAAATCAGTTTTAACTGAAAATGCTTCACTTTGCCACTGACTTTTCTATCTTGCTAAAAATATCTTTTCTATTACAAATATTAAAAATGTTTCTCAAAGAACCATGAAACATAAGAGGTAAAAATCTAGTCTCAGTAAAGACAAAGGACAGAATTCCAATGCCTTCATCTACACAAGAAAATAAAATGAGCAAAAGTCTGTTATCAAGGCAGAAGAGACTACACAGAATTTACCTATCCATTTAAATTACTTTCTACTTCTAACAGGCTGGCTTTGTCCATATGGCCAGCTGGAAAAAGTTCAAAGTTATATGCACAGAGAAAATGGCTTACTTGGGCCCCTAGAACAGACGAAATAATATGAGTACCATGTCTAGAAAACTGTAATTTCTGAGTATTTTTAAAAATACCTAAAAGGCAAATTCCATCAGTTCTTCTGATAATGTATTCTTATTACAATGTTTTACAAAATAATTTTTTTATCCCCATATTTGCATTAGATATTTCTTCTTAACTCTGTTCCAGTAGTACTCATTCAACAATTCAATCTGTACTACTCCCCCATCTGATGTTTTTATAGCTAAGTTGTCCTTATATACAATTTCTTTCACCAACCAAAATAATAAGGAATATAGTATTTACTCTGATGTTTTTATAGCTAAGTTGTCCTTATATACAATTTCTTTCACCAAAATAATAAGGAATATAGTATTTAAATAATAAAGAATAGATTAATTTCTTAATCTGTTAAAACTACCTGAACAAAATAATTGAGAAACCACTAGATTAAAAAAAAAAAAAAACAACAAAAAACTGCAAGCCATCTAGGTTTCTAAGTCACAACATCCACCCTAAGAAATAGCAAAGCCAGAGCTGTCTATGGGAAATCTAGCGTGTAATGATATACACTATGGTAATGCAAGGGGATTAGATTCTGTTTCTCTGTGCCACTTGTGGAGGTAGCAAGAGGAAAGAAAAGTAGTCTCTAAATTTAGAAGGGTGCAGAGTCTGAGATTGCAGACAGGATGTATAAACTCCCTTCCTGATTTAGACATAGGAACAGGTGTTTATTTCAATAACAATCTCAGCGTTTGTGCTGTGCCAAGAAAACAAGTGGTTTGTATTTGAAGTATGACTTTGTTTTGTTTCATTTAATTGTATTTTCTCAAAGCCATATTGTCCTGGATTTTGGTCTTCCATGGAAGTTGTCTAATTAGCAGCTCAAACGTACGACTGATTTTTGTCACAATATTAAAGACAGAAAAAACTGTTAGCAAAAATCTGTTTTATACTCCTGCAAACAGATGCCACAGCATTACTCCTAACTTCTCTCTTCTCATGCCTTAGCACTAGGGGATGAAGGAAACTGTCTCATCTTCTGTGGAAGACCCCAGAAGACAGAGTTTCTGAATTACTAAGCAAAATCAATAATTGCTTGATCTTATCTTGTGGGGTATTTTTCCATCTCCAATTTCCAGTTTCTGCTCTCATTAAAGAGTTGCCTGCTACATTAAAGTATCTGGTAAAAGTCTTTCTGTTCATATGATTGATCACGTGTTCATATGATCAAACAATCAAGTTTGCTCTGAAAGTTACTGTAATTTCCTTGCTATCTTACTTCTAAATTCTCTCAAGTGACTAATTTATGCTTATATTTATCAAATGTACTCATATCTGATTCTTACCAATAGCTGTACAGATTTACCCACATGTAGTACTTGGTCAGATTTAAATTCTGTCGGTTTTAACTATTGAATAAGGTGCACCAGGAAATTTGTTCAGTAGCATTATTTCTTTGCAAAATTATCATTTTTGCAATTATCCTCTTTTCCATTATTACTTGATCTCATTTGCCATCAGGCTGCCAAGTTTTACTTAAGTCTGTTAAATGTGCCATATTTGCAACATGACTACACACACAAGAAGACAAAAGAAGGCTGATGGATCCTGAGGTGATAAAAGTCTGGAGGTGAATTGCTTAAGACATTTAAAGCTTGTAGTCAATCCACCCAGAGTCTTTGTCTTCTCAATCACCACACCTCTAATTATAATTAACCTCTCAGTTCTTCAATATGTTTCCCAGCACTGTTCACAAATGGCAAATGTGTAATTGTCAGCTGGCAGAAGCTCCCAGCATGTGCAAGCGCCAGTTGGGAAAAAGGGGGGGAGAGGGGCGGGCAGCAAACTTTGTCCTGGAGAGCAGAGCACTGCGCTCTTTCATCTGTGACCATGCCCCACGCTGTGCAGCAGTGCTGGCAAAGGCATCACTCTAAAAATCATGGGAATGGACTGTTGGTAAGCTACAGGTTTTATACAGACTCACTCTTATGCGTCTACCTCTGGAAAATTAAGCTTTTTCATTCCTGCCTCGATACAATGCAAAATTCAGCTGGCATTTCCAAGTATGGTTTTATTCCTGTAGTATCACATAATTTGCCAATCAAGAAAGAGGCCTAGGCTCAAAGCAAAATTGTCTTCTATTTTCAAATTAATTCCAGTGCTTTTTTACTGGAGTCTTTTGGTAGAGTTTTATTTAACTTTCCAGTCTTTCAGGAACACAGTTCCTAAAAAGAAGTTATAGCCAGGTTGCAGAATCAATAAATTTTAATAAGACAGGACACGACATTGGAAGGTATTTTAACCATGAAATAGTACTCTTACTCAATATTTAGTCCAGAAGAACAATAAATCAAATAATCCCCAAAGTGACTGAAGTTTAGGAATTTTCATGGAATTCACCTGATATTCAGGAAAAAATATTGGCTGAGTGCCAAGCACAGATTTGAAGATGAATGTCAAATGGGGAAAAAAAACCCCACAAAACAACACATCATAGACAATTAAGTTAAGAGGCATATATTAAGAGAAAAGTTAATTTAAAGGAAAAAACCCACACCCACACAAGAAAAAAATGAAGGACAAAGGTAATATATTCTGCCAGAGCCTGTCAGACACAGAAAAATGGTTTATTTTCCTTTGCCTTTTTAACATTCATAGTACGAAATTCAAGCTTTAGTGTAACAGTAGGAGTGAATTCCATTTCTGGCAGTGAGAAATGGGCATCAGTCACTTCTGGGATTATTTAGGTCAATTGCAAGAGCATTTCTGTAGTGTAAGAAATACAAAGCCAAAGAAGAAATGCAAAAAATTATGTCACTGATGAGCATGTAGCATGACATCCACAAAGCAAAAGGCATTTTCAGGAATTTTTGCACAGTGATAATAATCATTTTCTCTAGTCTAGCATGCAAAGCATCAGCATTGTTCCCAGTGAACTTAAAAGAGGACAAAAGAGTGGTTCTGCATAGCAGGCTGTACTGAAAGAATCACACAAATACATAATGGAGAAGTCCACAGGGGGAGAGTGGCTGAAGGAGCAATATAAAAATACTACACTTAACTTGACTGTAAGAGCAGCTTGAAATTGTTAGCAAAAGACATGGAGACATTATGTGAAATTATTCAAGAGAAAGGGGAAACAGATGGTGGGCAGAAAAACTTATTTAAAGAACTACATTTTGTACAGAACAAAGAAAACTGAGATGATCTACAAAGAGATCAGAGATAAAAACTCTGCTGAAACTGATTTCCAGCCTACGGTGAGGAGCTACATACTGGTGTTTCATCCTAAACCCCCAAAAGAATAGCTTCAAACCCAGAGAACAGACTACTTATTTATCCCACCTGTAACAAAAGGGAGTACTATTTGTCACTAGTACTTGAGATATGAAGTTCACATGAAGAAGACAGACCAGATCGAGTACCAGTGACAGGAGGCACCAACTACCATTAAAGGTTACTGTGATCTCACAAACTTATTTTAATTCTATTTCAAGACTACCAGTTACCAGTGTCAGCATGCATGCAGATTAGAAGTCCTTGCTTTCAAATATAAATGTTGACTAAATCAAAAAGAAGCTAAAAAGTGAAATGAGGAGGCTTGTGGAATGAAGCTGACATGCCATGCCATGACTCCCTATACTTCAGCTTACAAAAAACATGCATCCCTATGACTCTTTATTTTAACCAGCAACTTTCATTTCTACTACTGGTCAAATTGGAATTCTCTTCCTTCCTCTATAGGGCAGTTATTTGAAACGTCTAATGGAAAAGGACAGAAAAAACATGATCCTATGATCACCTGAGTCACTTTGCAGGTGCTACTATAATTATTTTATTCATGTAATTGGGTTATTCCCCCATTTTTTCTCACACCTCTGTTACCTCATGCCTGTGGTTAGATGCCAATATATAAATGGCAATACCTAATATATCTAATAAATAATATATCTAATGGCAATACCTAATATATCTAATATTAGGTATAATAAATTCTATTTTACATATAACGTTTTCAGACACATTTAGAATATAGGTTGCTAAGAAAAATTCTTTCTTTTTTTCTTTGTAGTACCATTAATTTGATCAATTTTAAGTAATTCATAACATCACAGTATTAGAAAGAAAAAAATGACAGTTCAAGTCAAATAGGATTATCAACTATAATATAATAGCTTTTTCATCCAGTAAATAACATCTAATGATTTACTCATGTAAGCTTGTGACAGAAAAAATATTGAATCTATTAAGATTCTTAGATTTACCACAGCAATATATCCCTCTGCCTTTTAATTTATAGTTTTACTGTGAGAAGTGAAATATGTCCCAAGTGGCACAGCTCACTAAGGTTCAAATTATTTGAAGTCCTCCAGGAGTATGTGTCTAAAGTATATGACTGGCCAAAGGTCAGGTCTTCACAGGCAGCTATCCAGTAGAAAACACCAAATGCTGAAATTTCAGTTCAGCATTTTAGGCTGGCTGAATCTGGGAACTACTGTCTACTTAAATTCCAGGATCAGTGTGCTCAAATCAAAAGAAAAAAGGATAATTACATTTTCCTGGTAAGTTCTGCCCTTCAAAATTAGAAACCTGATATGTTTTTGATAGACCACAAAATGGCTGTGGTCTAAATTTGTTCTGGCTTTGGGTCCAAATTAATAAGAAATGTATAGACATATAGGCCCTCCTGCACTTAACAGAAAATAGAAAGTTCACTGCTGGGTACAGCTACTTTTTGAGTGGGCTGAGCACTTCTATCTTCCAAATCCACCCACTCAAAGACCAACTAATCTGGTGCTCGATACTGACAATATGATCCTCCTTTTCCTTACTCGTGGTCCCTGATCAGTGGCAAAGCATTTAACATGGTATTGTAGCAACCACTGAGAACATTCATTTCAGACCTGCAGCAACTCAGATGTCCTAACAGATGTCATGGCTGTAGTTCTGTGCTGTTTGCAGGTCCAAAGTCTTCTTTGTAATTGCAAGAGCTATATGCTACAGGAATATGTGAAAACTTTGAAACCATAAACAACATGGAACCAAACAAAGACATCTGCTTAGTTTTCAGAGAACCTGAGATGACAGCTCTGAAATGTGAGCTGCTCCAGCTAATCTTACAAATAAGATGCTTTCTGATAGCCACATACAGCTATAATTAGACCTCAGTTTCACACAGAGAATCCATTTTTCCTTGCATGAGTTTTTAGAGTCAGCTATAAATAATGACAACTTAATCTACATTTCTGCTGTGCATGTCCAGGACTAAAGTCAGTTTGATTGTTCCAATCTGTGCTGACTTCTCAGCTATGACTAGACTAAAATAGTAAAAAAATACTTGACATCAAAATAATTCCACAACTACACACACTTGCCAGAAACATATCTGATATCAGAATACACTTATATATACATATAAATATATACATACATATATATATACGTATGCCCAAATGCAGGCATACATATATTTATATATTGTCTGATTTATACCAGACTGAGTGAATGAATATCTTTATTATGGCTATCATTCACAACACCCGATAATCAAGTGAAAAGAAACTATATGTAAAATAATTTATGCTGTCTCTTCCAAGTTTATTAAAAATGTTGGGTCCTTCATATACAGATTTTGACTTGTAATGGCCTGAGAATCTGAAGCAGAGGTGTTCATTAGTGTTAATAACACTTGTCATTCAATGACACCTCTGTACAGAGAGACATTCCTGAGTTTGAGCTACCTCATGACAACCTTTGCTTCTGACAATGAAGGCATCAAAATTCATTAAAACTGTGCAAAACCGAATCATAAAGAACTAAATATTACCAAAGTTAATTAATAAGAATGATACTAGCTTGTACTCACTGAAATATCCTCAAGTACTCACTCACAAGATCTGTGAACCTAAAGCAGTGGGAAGACATTTGCCTGTATATTCAATCTGATACTCAAACTGAGAAGTAGACAGAGGGTATTGTCAGTCATTTGTCTCCTATGCACAGTTGGCTTGCAAATTAAGTAAATGTGTTCAAGTGGGTAGCAGTAATCCACAGTGAGAACAAGAGTGCAGATATTATTTAAAACAAAAAATTGCATATGGCACAAGCAGTAAATGAATCTCCTTCGCAAAAGTGCTGTTTTTTCTACTCCAGCTAATCAGTGCTGGTGCACCTGGATCCTGAATATTTATGACAGTGACATACATCTCTTAAGTGTTCAGAAATAATTAGACTTTGCTGAAGCAAAGCTAATGAATTCCCCTGGAACTCTGTGGCAAAATAAACAGATGAAAGGTATTAATAAGCATTCTGTATTCCTTAAAAGAAACCCCAACAAGCCCAAACAAAAATCCTCCACAACTGTTTTCTTCCAGCCCTGATTATACTTTGTACAAAAATATGTAGTCCAAGATTTTCTGTCCTTACCACTGCAATTTCCCCATTTGCAACACTATTGTAAATCCACACATTAATAAATCATGCAGTTTCATTTTACCTTTGCCTGCACCTACAGCAGGACGGAGAATACCAGCTTTAATGGAGGAAAACAAGAATAGGAACACTACATAATTAGATACAACACCAAAGGAAACATACATATACAATTTGACTACAAAAAACATGCAGACTAGATAAAATGTATTCATTCAAATAAATTAGAAACAATCCATTTATGCTGAACCCTGACAGACTACTACAAGACAAAATGATTGTACATGCATTTACAAAATTTTATGGCTCATGCTTGTTAGGGTGCAAGATTTAAACTAAATGCAGTTCATATGCAAACTTAATACCCTATCAGAGAAGTTGCATTGAATAGCAACTCATCTATGGCAATTCCAATAAACCATCATTTTAATGAGCACAAAAACATGTGAAAACATGGTACCAAAATAGACTTATTAATATTAAGATGATCAAAATTATAAAAAAGTTCCAAATTTCCTGTTGGCTTTAAATTATTCTTATTTTGTTAAGCATCTGTATTTAATTAAAAAAAACAACTTTAACAAAGCTCTAAAATGGCTACAAATATAAAAATCAATAGTGACAGGATTTATCAATATACTTGGTGGTTTTTAAATACTATACAGTTACTTGGGGGCATAGATGACAAATTTATTTAAACAGTTTTACAGTTTTTTGCCAGTTCTGCGAAAGCAATTTAGATTTCACAGAAGCTGTCACATACTACAAAAAATAAATAACCTCCTCTAATCACAAACCTGCATCATTCCAGTATTTTTCTCTGTGACCAAAGCTGGTCAATGATGCAGAATAGGTGAATAGACAATAACCACTAAAAATGTAAAGTTACATGAAACTTGAAGGTCAGAAAGGCCCATGTCTGTCTTAGAGCTTGTGAGTTGATATTAAAAGAAGAGGCTTTATACCTCTTTGGGGGTTCCCACTACAGCAGAAAGCCTTTACATGTATTTTCTTTAAAAAGATTTAGAATATTTTATTAGTGTATGACACTCTACCAAAAAAAAAAAAATCACTTGGCCCTATTTCCTTAGTGGAAGGAAGCAATCGCTACATTTAGATACAGATGTTTAATACAATCTGTAGTGGTTTTTAAACTCAAAGGGCTTTCCTTATTCATACATATCTTACCTTCATCCATAATTGTTACTGCTTCCTCAGTTATCTGACTTCCTGATCCAACTGAAGTTTGTGCGTTAAAGTAAAACTTGTACCGGGTGCTGTAATTTAAATTTTTTAATATCAAGCTGCTCTCATTGGCAGGAATTCTTATCTCTATCAAGGGACCCAATTCATGTGTGTTGTTGACTGTTGTTACAAAAAAAAGAAAAAAAAAAGAAAAGAAAAAAAAAATTAGGAAGCTTGCATACACTGTCATTGTATTTTAAAAGGCTTTTGGTTTGTATGTAATTTTTTTGCTTGTCTGCTGCATCTACACTTTCAAAAGAAAGTCACCTTTGTGTAAAGGTGCCAAAATCCAACTGGCAGATAGGAAACACTAGCAAGTTTAAGATCAAATTTCATTCTCATAAATCCAAGGCAAATGAGTTCAGTTCAAACCATCTGAATTTATACAGTGTTAAAGTCCTCCCTCACTATGGAAAAATTCTGAAACTCTAAATTCAGTATGCTTAGGAAAAGAAAACACTGAAGCTACTTGTGCCTAATGTCAAAGAACAGTGGGATGGATTTGGTAAGTGGAAGAAGGTAAATTTCCTTTATCTGTTCCATGCATATGCAACTCTTTCCAGTGTCACTGCTGAGAAATTTCTGGGCTAAGTAAGCAACTGGGATCCAAAAGAAGTGATTTAATAGCTCTGAGATGAGTAAATGGCACATTTATAAATTTTTCTTTTTAAGATTATAATACTGTGAAAATGGGAAAAGCAGAAAATATAATTGGGCATACTTTGATTTACTTCTAATGACATTTTTTTCTGCAGTTATATAGAATATAGAGATGGTAAGTAATAGTACCTTGCATCTAACTTGGATGCCACTTATCTGTAGGACCTCACCTCCATTTGTCTGTGAATAATATAGAGATGGTAAGTAATAGTACCTTGCATCTAACTTGGATGCCACTTATCTGTAGGACCTCCATTTGTCTGTGAAATATGGTTTGAAGCAATGAAAGTAATAAAAATGTTGACCTTGCACTACAGCAATAAAAGATTTCCAAGTACAGTCATCTATATGATCAAAATATATTAGTCTTTTTCAAACTTGACATTTAAAATGCAATCATATCTTTTGTACATTATAAATTTAACATAATTTTTTCTTCATAAATGGATTATTATTTGGTAGATACATTGCCCAAGTCAGAGTTTTATCACAGAATCAAATAATGGCTTGCATTGGAAAGGACTTGAAAGATCAGAAGTACAACTCCCAAAATATATTAATATTGAACTTACTTGGCTGAAACTTCAGTGTATATGATGTCAAAACACCATTTGGATGGGTGGGTGAGCCCCACTCCAGAGTCAGAGAGTCCAATGTTGGGTTAGTAATCTTCAGAAAGGAAGGTGAACTAGGAACTTTTAAAAAGAACATAGAGTAAGTACAAAGTGGATTAACTTAAAACAGGTCATTAATTATTAATTCTTAAGAATATTACTGTATTGAGAGAGATTATTATTTTATGAAGTCCAAGTTAACCCCATTTAAGTTTAATATCTAGGTTTTTCATTTCATACCTCCTTCAGGAGTCTTAAATGCTTTGTCTGGGCTTGCTGGTCCTTCTCCTTTACCATTAACAACTCTAACATTCAGCTTGTAGGAACTATAGGGCTCCAGTCCTGGTAACATTCCAAAAGTCTTGTTTCCCCTGAAAGTCAAGATCTTTTTTTCTACATGTCGTCTACTCCTTCTGGACAGACTCTGCACTTTCCAGTAGTAAATCTAAAGACAAACAAACAAACAAAAAAAAATAGTGAGTGCTCAGATGTTCTGATTTTCTAAACTCTCAGCTCTTCCATAAGTATCCATGAATTATAGGTAGAAATAACTCCAATTTTAATAAGCTCAGGTTAAACACAACATAGAGCTTTCCTGCTCCAGAAACAGAGCTTGTCTATAAACAGTCTACACAATCGAGTGCAGATTACCACCTGCCAGTTCTGCTAATGCTCAAAACCAGTCTGATACAAGTTCTGGTTGGGAACTACATTGGTCTGTGATCGTTCTCCTGTTATCCAGTCTGAGAGGCAGAAGTTATCTATTCATTCAGTAACATGTCTACAGGCCTTCCAAAGCAGATTTGGACTTTGCCTCCTTGTTAGATCACATCCCTGACCATCTTATTCCTTGATGTCAGGTTACCTATAAATGGGGAAGAAATCAAAAGATTTGATTTGGCTAGAAAAACACACAAGTTCTGAAATTAATCTAAGGTTATAGTACTGGAATGATCTCCACCCAGAGATGGGAACACTGTTCCTCCAATTATGTGACAATTTGATCTGATGAGAAAGCTGATTCAGGTGTCCATTGAGCTGACTTTCTAAGAAACCACATATGAGCCACAGAGATGCTTTCCCTGCACTCTCTTTACTACACAGTCTCTCTACCATGGTAACTTGAAAGATATTAACAGCTGCCCCTCCAAAAGACTTGTGTTACTTCTAAGATTGTCACCTTCAAATACATAATTGTATTTGAAGGTTACAATCTTGTATTCACAGCATCATTTTCATACACATATGATCACAAGCTAAAAATCATTACGAAATCTAAATTAATAAAAAATCTATTCCTATCCAGGCCAACTGTAAAACCCCTCTTCAATTCAGGAAGCCTGGATTTCACATAGGAATTCAAAAAAAGGGGCTGTTAAGACTTGCAAAGCCCAGCTAGATAGCTATAAAGCAATGTTGCACTTAGATCAGCTTTCAACATAGCATTTCACTCCAATCACTTGTAAATGCCACTGTGTTTTACATGGTTTGAGTTAATGTTTTTCAATATCACCAGCTGTCATCCTATAGCTCTCATCTTATCAGCTAGTGTAGAAAATCATTTACAAGCTAACAAAACTTGAAATGTTGGTACTATTGGTACTGAAACTCAGAAGCTGTAATAAAATACAGTGCACCACATTTTCCATACTTTCTTCCTAAGTTTGAAAAGCTTTATAGTACTGCAGTGTATTGAGTAATAGCTAGATTAATACAAGAGCAAAATATGAATTATGTGCTGTAGACTGCTGCTTAGTTACACATCTTCCTGCTTTGCCTTCAAGACGTGACTCTTTAGTCACTCTCTTAGTTCTCTCTTTGTTAAGAAATCTGTCCTCAGTGCAACACTGTATATTGGGCTACTGACAGAAAGAATTTTATTAATTAGGAAAGCCTGAGTGTGCTAGTAGGATTTTGCTTCTGCTTTTACAAAGAGCTCATCATGTGCTTTGTAAAGCTACGTCAATGATGAGGTTACTTCATCCATGAAAAGTTTTCAGTTTGTATTGAGAGAAAGCTTTTTAATAATAGCTACCCACCAGGTCTTATGATTTCTCATGCCTTGTCTAGCCTTGAATCTATTTTAGCTTGATTTAGCTGTATTTGCAAAAATTATTTAAGGTATTCTTGCTGTATCTGCAACTTATTCAAGGATATATCAATGTCACATCTGTCCTAGCCAGAACAGCAAAACTACTCAGTGGTCTGGTCGGCTGTCAATCCTGTGGTTGTGAGCTTGTTTTAATTATCATTATCAAGTAACTTATTTGACCTTCAGTTTTGCATAGCATTGTGTAATTGTGTGTCTCTCCTCCCACTCCACAGAAAAAAAATTAATTATACTGTATATAGAGAAAGCATAAGAAATTAAATAGAAGTGGTCATGACATAACTAACCCCCTAGATCACATGGAAAGGAAAGTGATCCCATTAGTGATTACAGGACAGAAGACAACCCTCAGACACTGAAAGTTAGAGGAAACAAGAAAAGTCCATCTAAACTTTGGATGACAACAATTCACTGCTGAAATTAACACCTGATATATAGGCAGAAGTGTGTCTATGGATTTTGGTTTTGGTATTGTTATAGATCTTTAATAGAAAATTGGTGATTTGGATTAAGACCTTTAGTGTTGCTGTAACTTGATTAATAACTACCACTAATTTTACTAGATTCCAACTCTTCAATTCTCGCATAACAGACATTTTCCTTTGATTGCCCATTTTTGCATGAAATATCAGATGGATGTAAAGCTGTCATCTAATAGATAAACATTCAAGAGACTAGTCAAGTCCTGTTTCTCAGCTGAATTTATTGTGTTAGTGTGGCAAAGCAGCACACAAACTAAAAACATTCACACTATGTCATACAGAATTAGTGTAAGTCTCTCTGGATCATGGTATTTTCTGTTAGGAAAGAGATACTCACATACCAGAAATTCACATTCATGTGGTAACCAGCTATAGAGCACTGAAGTTCAGTTTCAACATTTTTGACTGCTCCATTTCATAAGTATGGTGCATATTTATTCTCCTCCAAATACTCTCTACTGTTTTAATTTTTCCAATATTTCTTTTACCTCCTTTCACTTAAAAAGAAGTAGTTCAAATTAGTCTTATTCTAGTTTGGGCTTTTACCTCCTTTCACTTAAAAAGAAGTAGTTCAAATTAGTCTTATTCTAGTTTGGGCTAAGTAATCCGTTTTGTTAGAACGCACTTATGAGAATACTTACAGAGGAGCAAAGAAAGAATTACTTTGATTTTCCTCAATTGTTACACAGGATGTTGTAGTTCCCTCACTGAAGCAACTTTTCCCTATCCTCCAGGGATACCAGTTTCAAATCTTGAAGTCCTTGTGTCTCCCCTTCTCTATTAAATTGCAGTCTTTTTTCTCCAGCACAGCCTTTTCAGTTATGACCAAAGGGAAAGTGATCCCATTAGTGATTACAGGACAGAAGACAACCCTCAGACACTGAAAGTTAGAGGAAACAAGAGAAGTCCATCTAAACTTTGGATGACAACAATTCACTGCTGAAATTAACACCTGATATATAGGCAGAAGTGTGTCTATGGATTTTGGTTTTGGTATTGTTATAGATCTTTAATAGAAAATTGGTGATTTGGATTAAGAGCTTTAGTGTTGCTGTAACTTGATTAATAACTACCACTAATTTTACTAGATTCCAACTCTTTAATTCTCGCATAACAGACATTTTCCTTTGATTGCCCATTTTTGCATGAAATATCAGATGGATGTAAAGCTGTCATCTAATAGATAAACATTCAAGAGACTAGTCAAGTCCTGTTTCTCAGCTGAATTTATTGTGTTAGTGTGGCAAAGCAGCACACAAACTAAATACATTCACACTACGTCATACAGAATTAGTGTAAGTCTCTCTGGATCATGGTATTTTCTGTTAGGAAAGAGATACTCACATACCAGAAATTCACATTCATGTGGTAACCAGCTATAGAGCACTGAAGTTCAGTTTCAACATTTTTGACTGCTCCATTTCATAAGTATGGTGCATATTTATTGTCCTCCAAATACTCTCTACTGTTTTAATTTTTCCAATATTTCTTTTACCTCCTTTCACTTAAAAAGAAGTAGTTCAAATTAGTCTTATTCTAGTTTGGGCTTTTACCTCCTTTCACTTAAAAAGAAGTAGTTCAAATTAGTCTTATTCTAGTTTGGGCTAAGTAATCCGTTTTGTTAGAACGCACTTATGAGAATACTTACAGAGGAGCAAAAAAAAAGAATTACTTTGATTTTCTTCAATTGTTACGCAGGATGTTGTAGTTCCCTCACTGAAGCAACTTTTCCCTATCCTCCAGGGATACCAGTTTCAAATCTTGAAGTCCTTGTGTCTCCCCTTCTCTATTAAATTGCAGTCTTTTTTCTCCAGCACAGCCTTTTCAGTTATGACCAAAGGCAGCACACTACCTTACAATAAGCTTCCTTCCATTATATGGGCACTCTGAATCTTCTGCCATTTCATATGTCCTTAATTTGAGCTTTTAAACTGAGCTTTTTCCTGGCCTCCAAAAAGACACAGAACCCAGCATATGCTAGTAAGTGCCCATTACTCTGAATTAAAAACACGATTAATCCTATCGAAGCAGAAAATGAGTAATATTAGCATCAGACCTAGAAGAGATTCTTACAAAAGTAGTTCTTCACATCCTCAAAATTACTTTGGAAAATGATCTGTTATCATTTTTTAACCTGTTTAACATGTGCAAGCTTGATTGCAAACACATGCCATTTTTCTTCAAGGACAATGTCACAGGAAGCTACAAGGCTGGAGCATTGCTGAACTCTGTATGAATTGCATCAAAGCTGTTGCTTTTGTCAGCAGAACTTGAGAGCTCACTGAAAAGCACCAGTCCTCTTACATTTCAGTTACACAATCTGAATACAATCTCATACAGGAAGATTGATCTATTTTAATAAACAAGGAAGAGAATGCTTTTGACTGTACTTACTTTGTACCCTTGAAGGTGTCCTCGGACACTTTTTAGTGGAACTGGGTCCCAATGCACCTTTGCTAATGTGCTGTTAATAACATGAACCTGCACATTGCCTGGAGCAACCATTGGCACTGTGTGGAAAGGATGCAACAAGCACCTAGTTAGAATTAGAAACCACACAAACATAGTTTTTTAGTATGAGACTGTGCATTGTACTTAGCAGGTTAAAATGTTCCTATGCTTTCAGGATTGATACTACAGAGTAGTATGAAGCCTTTACTATCTCCAAATTGCTTCCTTTTAATTAAAAAAAATAACTACTATCCCCCTTATCAATATTTCAGTATTTTAAATACCCATTCAGGTTATACGTTTAGTTCCTTTTAATTAGGATAACTGAGTCAAACTACAAAACTTACAGTCTTCCCCTGAATGTCCAATCACCTCTGATGGTTCTGGTGCATACCCCAAGTCATTTAAAGCTTGCACTTTAACTTCATATGGGACAAAAGTTGGTGTACCAGACACAATATATTTAGATACATTTGCAACTATAACAGATGTCCATTCATCATCAACATCTTTCTGGCGCCAGCTGACTTTGTACTGAAGCCCTGGTCCATTAGACTGAAAACCTTTTAAAGGCTGAAATGAAAAGAAATATTTTTAAAATATTCTGAAGCATCTGAAAAATCTCAACTTAGAAAGAAATACATTGATTCTTTTTATAGAATATCACCAAAAATTTACCACTGTATTCTGCAACAGAGAAGCACTGCTGAAAGTTATGCAATATAGCTTTTACAAGAGGTCACTTCAGTTGTCCTTTTTTTTTTCAGTTTTCACTTTTTGGTAAAAAAGCACATTGAGTGATATGGGTCACTAAAACTTCAACAGAAGTTTTCTCATGGGAAAGTGCACAATATTTGTTTATCATAAAAGGTGACAGTAGAAGTAACATCCACATTAGAATTCACTCTAAAAATTAGACCCAAAATGAACATCCATTTATATTTTGAAGTTTTCCTAAAGTGGCAGCAAACATCCTGTATTACCTAATTATTGGCTTATCCTGAGAAAACATGCAAGGAAATATGCATCCCTGCTTCAACTTATTTAAAATTTTGAATGAAAATGAAGATGGGGAAATGTATGAATTTAGCTCTTTTTCAAGAATATTGTAAGCAGGCAATTCGGTATTCTCATCATTGGTTCTCAAAACAACAACAAAAAAAAGGCTACTTACAAACCCAAAACCAAATGAAACCTTGAAAAAAGACCCATCTTACCTCCCATGTTATTACCAAATTATCAGGTTCTGAGCCTATCCCCTGCACATTAGCAGGATTTTCATCAGGGCCTAAAAATAAAACATTTACACGTGAACAAGAATGGCTGCTGTGTGATTCCAAGCAATCTCAATGCTATTCATAGCAGGACTCAATCACTGGGAAGTGGCAATAATTATTTACTTGCAGATTTTGTCAGGTACTGCTCAGATGGCTCACTGGGCTGGCTTCTGCCAATCTTATTGACAGCTATCACACGGAAGGAGTAGTTGACATAGGGAGACAACTTCAGCTGCACTGTTGTCTGAGTGCCAGGGACTTCCGTCTGGTAATGCCACACTCCTGGTTCGTGCAGCGCGTCTTCATACTCAATCACAAAGCCTGCAAGCAGGAATTGCATCCAACTTTATGTCAAAACTCAAAACAGCTTCCCCGACAAGTATATGCATTTCTGAATGAGCTAGCCAGAAGGTATTGCTCCAGCCAGTGCTTTCAAAAATCATGGAACCTGACATGTAAATACATAAATCTAACACAAATCTACAATGTGGATATCAAAAGTAGAAGTAAAGGTGAAATAGAAAAAATAAACCCTTAATTTTATCCTTTGCTGCTGTCACTAATGCAGCCATCTCTCAGGTAATACATTTATACAAGAGCTCTCTGTCAGGTACTGGATTTTAATTTAATGGGAGCACTTGAACTATCACAGCAAGGAAGTGGATTTTCACTGCCAAATACATTGTTCTTAGTTGTATATTCCATTTTCCCCAATGAAACTGGAATAATGAAAATCTGTTTAAAGTCAAGAACCTACACTTGAGGAAGGTGTTTGAGAGTACTTTTCATTAACTTCAAATTAAATCAGGGAATGTATATTCAGACACTAAATTTCTTTAGAGCACTTTGTGTGAACATTATGATTACTGTCAAGACCCTACAAAGCATATAACCTTAGGGATAAATAGGTTTCTAGAATTAAAAAAAAAAAAATCATATTCATTATGAAAGACAAAAGGATATTTTTTTACAGATGTGAAACAGCCAAAAAACCTTGCTGTAAGATATGAGATATCAATTCTGAAAGACTTAGGAGAAAATTTTAGGACACCATAAATAAATGGAAGAATGTACAGTCTGAGTACATTCCACGGAACCTGGAGCATCAAATATTTGTGTGCTGTGTAACAAGAATTTTCCTCTATCTCATGTGTGGGTGGAGACAGAATATGACTCAAGATTGATCCTGTTCAGACTACTAAAAAAATTCAGAGTGGCATCTAAAAATTTCTCTTAGAATACTTACAGCACCACATAGAAAAATACACAACAATTTGAGGAGCAAAATATAAAAGAGATAAGTAGTACTAATCATAGCCTTCTGTACTTAAGGCTGGCAGATTTCATTCTGACCTAAGTAGTAAGAGGGGGAATTGACCCCAAATTACTGTCTGAGCTACTGCTGCTTTTGTGTGTTCAGTGATACAAGTCTTGGGATGTGATGTCTCCAGGATAATGCCTTGTTGAAAAGGTGAGAATATTATATGCCAAAAAGGTGTTCACTACTGCTTTTTGCTTCCCTGGCCACTAGCCTTCTGCCTGCAACTCCAGAAGAATAATTTATAGGCAACTTCAAAGGGAAAAAACTATCTGAGCTTTCAGAGAGATTCTAGCATGTCAGTCGTGTTGTACAAACAGAACACTCCTAATGAAGTGCAATCCTTGAGTCTTCATCTGCACTTTGAAGTGATAGCAGCAGCAAAAGAAATAGGCTTACTCAGGAAGCAAATGCCTTATTTTGCAGCCTCTAAGAAGACCATGCAGCAATATAAATTGTATTATAATTAAACCCAGCATTATTTAGTTAGACGAGTTCAGTTTCCACTATGCGAGTGCATGCAGAATCTTGTTCTAGAAAAACCTACAAGAGACAACACTGTCCAGTACTAAATCTTTTGCTACAGTGTGATCTTATTCCTACAGAAAGACAACACTTCTGTCTTCTGGCATGGAAAAAAATGAGAGTATTAATAAAAAATATGTATATGAATAAACTAATATTCAACTATTTACATTGATCTTCCATATTTTATATTTTAAGGTATATTACTAGTTGATATACATTAGAGATGCCTGAGACTGTAAAATTTCAGAAAAATCACTTAGTGTTTCATTAAAATGTAGTCAAGATCTTTGATGTTTTCAGAAACTTGTGAAATTCTGTTTTTTACAAGTATTCCTTTCCAGATACCTGATCCTTATGGTTTGTTTTCAGTGTTGAGAACAACCCAGCATCAAATCCTGGAGAACAACACCCAGTAAGTCAGTCTAACTAATTAGTTCCAAACATAATATCTGCACTCAGCAACTTGTGGCAGTTATCTAAAATCACCCTGCATCAATAATGAAATACCTGAATTAAGTTGCTCATAGGGAAAAAGTAATGCCAAAAAGTCGTTCTGATCCTATGATTTTTTGGAAAACAAAATATCTTTGTTCCTTGCTCCTAAATTCCACCCCCCCATCCTCTCTGCTCAATACAAGACTTTTCATTATGTTTTACTGGGAAGAATAACAGCATTTAAGATAAATTTACTGCCTAAAAATTTTACAGATATTTAATTGTTTAGTTTAATGGATTTGGTTTATTCTTTTAACTGTCTGGACTAGGAAAAAAAACCAGAAAAACTATCTACCTTATATTTTCATGAAGAATAAACTTCTGCACCAGTAGAGATGGTTACTCACTAATGATGGTAGTACTAATGCTATTTCAAATTCATATAATTACAAAAGAGTTAATGCAAGATGTTAGTAACTCTCTCCTTCAGAAGCATAGAAGCAATCAACAAGTCTGCTCTCTACATATTCATAAAATTGGACTTTGTCAGACAGGCCTCACATCAGTATATATAACTTCTATATTATCTAGCACAAGTTTGTGAATAAAAAAGCCCAGTTTTTCCAGTCTTCCTGCTTGGCTGTACAGTAGTTATTAAGGGTATGTTATGTAAATAAATGGCAACTAGAGAGTTAGAGAGTTAATTTACCATTTTCCCACGCTGCACACAAAATTTATTCCTGAAATATTTGGAATTTGAGAACAATTAGAGCAGCACTTGCAACATAGTGCAGTAGATACAATCAAACATACTTGTAATGGGACTGTTGTTTTCATCCCCTGGTATCCATGAGAGATCAATGCTTCTTTCTAGCTGACCTGTCAATTCCAAGTCAAAGGGTGGATTTGGCCGAGCTGTAAATCAAATGAACACAAAGTAACCACACCAGAATCTGTACTTTAATATTTGAAAAAAATCCTTACATTCCAATCAAAGAATTCCACAAATACAGCAGGGCAGGTCTACTCACTTATGTAAGCATGACTTAAAGACTAATAGCATGCAATTATTACAAAACAGACAAAAATGGAGAACTGATGTAACCTGGAAACTTCTATACATTAACAAGAATTGGTATTTTTTTTTATCTATGTCTGAGTGCAATGTGATATTAAAATGTGATGAGATGCAAGGAATTATGAAATGCATGTTCAGTTTATCTTTGAATTATTATGGGTGGTTATCTATTGTAACAAACATACTTCATACAACATGGAAAATAAAGAAGCATTCATATCAAAGAAGCTTTTACAGAACCATTACAAATATTTTTATGTGAATTCAAAACAAGTATACTTCAAACAAAAACTAATTGCAGGTTACTAAATTATTTATTTTTTGGTGTTCTTTTAAAAAGATTCAGAAATACCAGGCAATCTGTTATTATACATCCTTATAATGCATAAAGATATAATTGCCTGTTCCAAATTCATGAAGGTAATTTATTGTATGATTTGCTACACAAAATACACAACTAATAAGTAGGTTCATGTAAGAATACATAAGCATTTTCACAGACAGGATTTACATAAAAGTGCTTAAAACCTTTACACTTAAAAATATTTTAGTTTATTATATTGCACTTGAACCCCCAAATTCAAAAACATTCTACTAAATTAAAGGCTCTGTACCATCAAATATAAGACTATGCCTGAATAACAGATTTTTTTTTATTTTAAGTTTTCATTTAAATTTTAAAATTTTGGTGATTTAATCAATTATAAGTCAAACTGGTCAATATGATCATATTCATCTTAAGAGTGAAGTAAAATTAAGATAAATTATGAAATAAAATAGAGCAGGATTACAAGGCTGTAAAACCAATGTTAACATACAACATAATTTGGTTGGTGCAGTCTTTAATAGTGAATCACCTTTCACCAAAGAGTTGGATTTACATTTTAGATATTTCATTTATTATATAACTAATTTGTGTTACAGTGTGGTCTATGAGAAAAACATTGCCATCCTATACCTAATCTTAATTAGAAGTAATTTATCTCTGAAAACCACTTATTCCCTAAATATAAAGCAGCCTGTACTGTAACATTCCAAAGTTCTGTGCTACAGTAATGAAGTAGTTGGTAAAATGGGATGAAACCACACAGACACAGACACACACACAGAGGAAAAGGGGAAAAAATAGGCAAAAAAAATTGCAACAGGCAAATGAGCAATATATCTGCCTGATGATGTAGAAAGAGAACTTTTTTTAGTTTACCGTAAATGATAGCTGGTGTTGGGGGAGCAGCTGAAAAGAACATTAATATAAAGGATTTAATCAGTTAGTAGCCAAAGAAACAGAAGCCTGTAGGTAGTTAAAGACTATAGATATTAAGAGACAAAGAAAAGTTAACTTATTTAGATTAAATGGTTAATTAAAAAAAAAACCACATTATAATTTCTCACTGAGGAGCTAAAAAAGTATTCTTGAATATTTTACTCTATTCATTTTTTAAAATAAGGATAGATCAAGAAAAGAAAGTAAACCACCTTATAAAATGCCTAAATAAATACTAGTTTTTTGGCTTAGATAATTCCTGAATAGGCATAAGATCACAGCAGAATTTTAAAACACAAGCATATTTGCTCTGAGCCTCAGATTGAATTCATGGAAGAATCATTCAGGACATCTACTTAAAACTTTCTGAGAAATTGGAGAAGGGGCAAAGTAATACATTTGGCAAGAATCTGTAATCATAAAAACTTAACAGAGAACTAAACTAAAAATACAATCCATGAGAAGTCATACAACCAAGTATTCCCAGTCTTTCTGAAGCATGATTTAGTTGTTGAAGAGATTCCTGAGAAAACATTTTCCCAACACAAAAAAGACATGGACCTGTTGGAAGAAGTCCATAGGAGGGCCACTAAGGTGACCACAGAGCTGGAGCACCTCTCCTATGAAGACAGGCTGAGAGTTGGGACTGTTCAGCCCAAAGAAAAGAAGGCTCTGGGGACCCCTTAGAGCAGTCCTCAGCACCTACACAGGCCCCAAGAGAGCTGGAGAGGGACTTCACAAGGGCATGTGGTGGTAAGACAAGGGGGAATGGCTTCAGCTAAAGCTGGGTTTATGTTATGTGTTAGAAAGACAATTTTTATGGTGAGGCACAGGAACAGGTTGCCCAGCAGGTCGTGTGGAAGGTGTCCCTGCCCAAGGCAGGCGGGTTAGAACTAAATGACCTTAAAGATATCTTCCAACCCAAACCATTCTGTGACTCTACCATCTTTATGTTCAAATACCCTGCAAAATTTAATTTCCTGTAGTAGCTCAGAGGGGGCAAAATAAAAAGCTATACAGCACAAATCTGCCCTGTAGCTGCTCAGTCATTTGGTAAGCAGCTGATTCAAATGCAAACTGTAAGGTGAGACTACATTTTTTAAAAACTGAAACACACTGACACCTAGGTGGCATTTACACTATCCTATCCTAAAAACCAAAACTATGTTTGTGCTTTTCACTTTAAATCTAATGCTGCTTTCATACTTAACAGTAGAAATTTGAGAATATTCTTACCAACAACAGTAAGCACAGCACTTGCTGAAACACTGTCCAGAGTAGTATTAACTATGCAAGTGTATGTTCCATCATCTTTATCAGTTACATTCATAATGGTCAAGTTGTCTTTACCAACTAGAAACCTGTAAATACAATAAATTCAGCTGCTGATTTTTCAATAACTGGCACTGTTATAAGAAACTTGCATAAAACATTATCAAATCCCATATACTTGAACATACCTAAACAGCTATGTTTACCCAAGTTAAGCTATGGGACAACATAATCTTTTTTTTTTATTTGCTCTTCACCATCTTCCCACAGTGACTCTTATTCTAATGTGCTTTTCTTTACAAATTATTAAAACAAATTCTAAATATTTGTGATGCAAAGCAAAATAGTTTTCTATTATCTCTTTAGCTTCTTAAGTCAATTATCTTTACCTTACACTTAATCTATAAGGTCAGTGTGCACAGTTTGTATAAATGGTTACCTATCATTTTATTTTTAATTCTATCTTGCTATTTTCATCACACTAGGTAGGTCCTTTAGTCACCAAATAGTGGATAGCCATGATGTTTATCAGCCTTCTTTGGAAAATATGTCAATAGGTCAGTATGTTTGTTTCAAAGATCAGGAAAAGGAGCAGACAAAAGGACCTAAAAAATTAAAAATAAAGGAAAACTATGTGGTCCTTACCTTTCATCATCTGGCAGTTCATCATTGTCCTTCAACCATGTAACTGTTGGTAGTAAGGTAGAATCATGTTTTATTATACACTCAAAAGAAACCTGGCCATATCTCTGAATCACTTTGTATTCTGGCTGTTTAATGATCATCGTTGGATCTGAAATTTAAAATTAAAATTAGATACCCAGAAAGTCTGAAATTCTGTACTAATCAGTGATGAAAGAATGACTAATTTCTCACCTTTAACTTCCAACTGCACCTCATTTTGTATCTTTCCTAATTCATTCCTTGCTACACATGTGTATGTACCAGCACTATTCTTCTGAGCCACTGGAATTTCCAAGGTTCCGTTATCATGGAAAACGTACTCATTTCCACGCAAGATGCTACCTTTCACTCCCTTAAACCTTTGTATAAGAAGTAATACCATTAGCCAGAACTACACTTAAATTCTGTATGGTTTTATTATCAAAAAAAGACAAACTTAGGACTGTCACGTTGGAAAATAGAGACAGAAGCACTCAAAGAAATTTAAACTTGACTCTGTAGGTGTAACTTTACTGCTGGTCCACTAAGTACATGCAATATTGTATTAGCAAATTGTAAACAGCGTTTATTTTGAAAACATTATTTAAAAATTGTAAATAGATTTAGAAGAGTTTTAAAGCTTCAAGTGTTTGTTTCCATAGATACAACTGGCTCATCTTCTGTAACATAAGCACAGCTAGAGCTTACCATTCAATTTCAGGCTTAGGTGACCCAAAATAAGCACAGTCTAGCAATGCGGGACTGTCTGCAATGACTTGATACAGTTTATTAGCAGGAGTTAGAATTCTTGGTGGCTCAGCTGAAAAGACAAAGATATCTGCATATAGTTACAAAGTTACAAATAGTAAATACACAGTAAAAAGTATAGTTACAAATACAAAATACAAACATATTAAAAATGGCCTAAAGAATTACATAAAATATTTTTCCCTGGGATGATTTTGGATTTCAGTCTGGGCTCAAATACATTCTATTGGTACTAGCCTGAGGAAAAGTTAATGCAGGGAAATTATCTTGTGAAAAACAACAATAATTAACAAGAAATTATCTTGTGAAAAACAACTGTTTCTTGCCTATTTACAAGTAATAGTGATGGGTACCAAAGGCTATGATTTCAACTGGAAAATTTAAATCAGTATATACTTCAAGAAGATAATCTCCTGGGTACAGACTGAACTATCTAGTTCCAAACAAACCTGCAGGCAGAAAGAAGCTAGGATGCATTTGTGGTGTAACACCTACATTTTCTTTCTTTTAAATGACAGTGTCAATCAACGCATCTGCCAGTTCCTGCAGGAGAGTCACTAGAGGCCATTCTGCCTAGGATTTTGCTACTAGGTTTTTTTAATTCAGTGAGAAGAATTAGAGGGGCCACAACATATTGTAATCAGAAACATATGCCAGGGAAGCCTTAGAGACAAATGCATAATCAGGTCCCCTTGCAGCAGCAACCTCGAGATCATCTATTCCACTAATCCAAAACATCCAGACTCAATGAAACTGTATTGAAATGTACTAACTTAAGCAATACTAATTCCTGCCTTCTTTGTTGGGCTTCTGTTTGACTGACTTACACAAACAAACAAACAAAAAAAAACCAAGAGAGATAAAATTTCTTCCAAGTTTTCCCAGCTTTCACATCTGTCCTTATCACTTTGGAACAGTGAAAGTGAAATTCAGGAATACCCTAGCAAAAAACAAAGGTATGTATACCCTTGCTCTTTACAGGGGCCAGGAAACAGATCAATTCCCAACGAAGACCTCAAGCAGGCTTGAGCAGAGTCCGTGTGTTAGCAGGAGACAACTGAATACCCAAGAAAACAGAAAAAAATTAAGTCTTTTTCTTACCCAGAACATTCACAAACGCATTTGCTAGCAAGTATCCGTATTCATTAGAAGCATTGCACTGATAGACAGCACTTGACCTTTCTTGCACGTGTGAGAAAATAATGGTGTCACCATCCACCTTTCTGCTAGGATCTTCTGGGGCAACTGTTGGTGCAAACAAAAAGAGTTACTGCTTTTCCCAAACTGCTATTGGACTGCAAGATTCATACTTCTGAAAAGAAGGAAGAATCTGAAAGACCAATATACCCTTAAAAGTTGGGGGTTTTTTTCCCCTGGGTGACTAATCACTAGGAAAAATGTGGATTTTAATACAGTTTAAAAAGTTCTTCTCATTCTACAGGTATTAACTCAGGATGGTAGGGTTCCCATTTTTTGAGACCTTATTTGTTCGTTTTCCAAGGAAGTGAAGCTGAGATTTTGTTTTGCACAGAATACAGAGGAAAAATACCACTATTATGAGATCTGGGCAAATACAGTCAATATCTAGAAAATTACAGAAATATTTCTGTCAAAGAAAATGCTGATGCAGTGAAATAGTCCTCTGTGACTTTAAAGTTTCAAATTGATTGTTATACCACAAATAATTTTCCAAATACAAAAATAGACACACTCGATTGAAAATCATCTTAGAGTAAAGAATAAGCATTCCTTCTAACAAAGTCAAGAAACAATCTTCTCAAGAGCAGAGTTAGTACTTCAGTAGGTGGCACTCTTTCCCTTATGTAAGAATTATACAATGCCATTTCCTCAACTGCTCTGGAGTGGCCTGAGCTGTCAAACAGCTTCTGCATCACAGAAGCACCCAAGACATAACTGAAAATAAAATTCTAAGAAAATACTTATGAAGAATAATAGCTGTCAGTTCTGATACAACTGAATGGCATTAAAGAAGTATAATGAAGAAAAAACTTAGCTTGTAACACCACACTGCATAAAAATGCAAAATCTATAGTTAAATATGTTATGAACATACTAAATAAGACCAGATATATTATTATTGTATTGAAAATACAAGTATTATTAATAATGAAAATTAATAATAAAATTACTAACCTACTAATATGGAAAATAGATGTATTTATACAGAAATAAATGCATCATAGTTTGGCTGCATAATCAAAACTTACACCTTTACTGAAGCTTGAAAAAGTATATTTGTGGAACACATTCTCATACAAGGAAATTCTTATTTGAATTCATAAAAAGAGATCAATCAAGTAAATTAACATCAGTTTTATGGAACAGAAATTAATCTTTTGATTCAGACAATACCTTAGTTCTCATCTGTAAAGAAAATGGAGACATTTCTCCTGCATTTTCTTAAAGCATGTATTACTGAATTCTCTACAAAAGAAACCAGATAAAGAGGACCACAGTTCTGTGCTTCTGCTTAAGGATATTTCCAGCTTGGATGAAATTTAAGGCCATTTTTCATGTAAATACCTCCATTTCCAAACAGCTGCCTCAAGAACCAATTTCCATTTCCATTTTTTCTCATCTTCCATCACTCTGAGTTCTAATCAACATCACAAATTCAAAAATTTCAGGAAGGAAGAAAAAGGCACTACTGAGATTTTGAGTGTTTATTCTCTGGACTTCTGCCACATATTTTTCTCTCTTTTGCTTTACTTCCTATTGTGTTCCGTGCTTCACATTGCCTCCTTTTCTGCGTAAATGCCATTTTCATTAAAAGATTCATGGGCTGAAAATAGCCGGAGCAGGTGAGCAGCCCAGCAGGCAGGCCAGTCAGCTGCGGGAAGCACTCTGTTTCTGCATACAAATCACAGCTAAACAGAAGACAGGCACAACTGCTCTCCCACGAGGAAGGAGCACTGCCCACAGCCATCCAAGCATGGCTGCTTCCAGCCCTGGGCTCTGCTCTTCCCTCCACTCATGCCCTCTGAATCCTGCAACACTTTTTGCACCCTAGTGGGTCATTAATGGGTGCACAGACTGCCCCCCTCACACACACTCCAACACCTAATCCCTTACAGGATGATGGTAGGGCCCCTCCTAAGAGATGGAAGCCATTAGTTCAATCTTCTATGGCTGAAGGAACTGCATTGTAAAAGAATGATCTAACCACTAAATTATTATAGAATGAGGGACAGCACCCTCCCTTCCCACTGCTGTAGTGAAGGAAAAAAGGAGATATCCCCTTTCAGCTATCTGAAGGAAAGGAGGTGCTTATTTTCTGAAAAGGCTTCAGGCTGGGGTCCCAAGAGAAAAGAAGGCACAAGTGTCAGGTTAGCTGGTGCTTTCTGTTAATTGGTCTAGCCAATTGCATGCTGAAGGGCACTGATTCAAAAGCTCCCTGGTAAGACAGGCATCTATTTAACTGTCTGTTGAATACAGCTTCTTTAATGGTCTGAAGCACCCACTGCTGCACTTGCAGACACAGAAACATTGAGCTTGGAAGGGGGACTTTTGGAGGTCATCTGGTCCAACCCCCTGCTCATGCAGGGCCACTTGGATCCAGTTATCCAGAACTGTGTCCAGATGGGGGAAGGATCACTTTCCTCTACCTGCTGGCACTTTTGTCTCATGTAGCCCAAGATAACGTTAGCCTTGTTGCCATAAGGGCACATTGCTGGCTCATGGTCAACTTGGCATCCACCAGGATGCTCAAGTCCAGTTCTGCCATGGCACTATCCATCTGGATGGTGCCCAGCATGTACTGGCACTAAGGCTGTTCCTCCCCAGGTGCAGGATTTTGTTCCACTGACCACCCTCTCTGAGTGTGGCCATTCAGCCATTTTTCTATCCACCTCTCTGCTGTTTATCCAGCCTATACATCAACAGCTTGTCCATGAGGAACTAATGGGAGACAGTGCCTAAGGCCTCACTGTGGTCCAGGCAGACATTATCCACTACCCTTGCCCTCATCTATCTGGCCAATCATTTCATCATAGAAACATATGAAGTTGTCACCCCTTGGTGAAGCCATGAAAATAGTCCTGAAAGTTTTCTTGTCCTTAATGTGCCTCAAAATGGTTTGCAGAACTAGCTGCTCCATCACCTTCATAGGGATAAAGCTGACTGTAGTTCCCTAGTTTCTCCTTCTGGCTCATTGAAGACAGAAGTAGCATTTGCTTTCTCTCCATCTTTAGGCACTTCTCCCGGTTACCATGATCAAGCAAACATTATGGAGACTGTTCTTGCAATGACATATGCCAGCTCAGTCAGCACTTGTGGCTGCATCCCACCAGGGGCCACACACTTGGGTATTTTCAGTTTGCTCCTGACCTAATTCTTTTCCACCAAGGGTACATTTCATTCTAGTCTTTTCCCTGGTCTTTGGGACCTGGGGTTCCTGCAGGTCAAACCTGCTAGTAAAACCTAAGGAAAAATAGCATGCAGCACTTTAGCCCTTTCCATATACCAGTCTACCATTTTTTAAAAAAAAAATTAAATATCTTTTTCTGAGGAAAAGGAATGATGGCAGGGCCACTCAAGCACTGCTTGTTTGTATGTATGAATATTCTGGTCACGTTACATGATAGCAGCATGAGAAAGAGAAAATGCTTTTGACATACTAGAGAAATCTGAATTTGGCACTGATAGGCAAAATAGCAAAAACCTACATAAAACTTAAAATAATCTTCTACAAACAGGAAAATGAATTACAAGGATTTGCTATAGGAGTTCGGCTGCTGTAAAAAGACAGGTGAACATGTGCCATCTAACAGCCAACATTTGCTCCCAATAACATGGAATCTCAGCTTATGAATGTGTTTTGGTCCTTTCTGAACAAAGACCTGGTTTAATCTAATTTTTTCATCACATTGTACAATGATACAGCTTCTTGACTCTACCTATGTTCAGCATATTCCTAAACAGAGAAGGCAGGGCCTCCATCAGATACTTCTTGTTGTAGTTAGAGATCAGCACTGTGAGTAACTTCTGTTAATTTGAATGTTTCATAAACTTCTGACAGCCTAAGCAATTACTTTTTCTAGTATGTTTAAATAATGGCACCATTATTACTTTTTTCCTTGAAAAAAAGACAGAATTACATGCTCTCTGAACAGAAGTAGTTAAAACTGGAAGGGAAAAAATCTCGATAAAAAAACCCATGGATAACTGAAATGGATAACTGAAATGGTAAAGGAATGTAATTTTCATTTTCTTATCAATCTTGCTTGCTCCTCAGCATATTATTTTCCTGTGACCACTGAAATGCTTTTCCTCCTGAGTTTCTGATTCTGACAGTTCTGTTGTCTTCAAAGTCACAGCATTACCTGCACTAACTATAATCATCCTTGACTATTTTGTGCAGAATTGAAAAAAAACTGATAATCTGCTGAAGTTCCTAGGCCAGATGCAAAATTCCAACACAATGACAGAGAAGCAGTGGATAAACACCTTCCCATGCAGTCTTCTTTCCAAGACTGAAATACTGGGGGCATTAGGGTCAGCAAATTTCTCCCCTCCCTCCCACAGCTGCAGTGAACAGCTTGTGGTGTGTACTCTCAAAGAAAATGATGGATGGTGAATCTCTCAGCCATAGAGTATCAAGGCCTTTCATGAAAGAAATCTAAGGGCTAATGTTTCTCCCTTAAATTTAGTGTAAGTACTAACAGAGACTAACTCAAACCTAGAGGTTCAATGTGGAATGTAATATAAGAAGAAAAGAATGTGTTGAAAGAAGATAAACAGCACCTTTGCGCTACTTTGTATAAATCTAAGTGTCTGTATCTAATATATAATAGCTCACCATGAACTATAAACCACTGGACCAAAAAATCAGTCTTTTGTACAGTATTTGCAATGCCTTTCTGAAGTCCAATTCTGAAAGCGTTTCCCCTTCCCAATTAATCTGGGTTGTTACTTTCTTAAAAGTTGAGACACTTTATGCATGGCTTCCCTTTTGTAAAACCATGCTGAATATCTAAGCAGTAAGACACAATGGATTATGCAGTGATAAAAATAATGCAGATCTTGAGTGTTAATTGAAGCACAAGAAACACAGAGTCAATTGCTACTTGCCAAAGTAATTCTAATTGACCTTAGTGGGACTGGGCATGTAAGTTCAACATACTCCTGTGAGTAAACATTAGGAGGTTAGGTCCTTACCATTCCAACATGTCTAAAGCAGCTTTTTTTTTAGAAATGCTGGTGTTTTCAGCATGACTGATGAAGAAAACTATTTAAATATTTCAGGGAAACCTAAAGTCTTACTTAAAATTTTTTTTTTACTGAGATTATTGGAGTATTGAACAAAATTCACACAATTGCAAGTTTATTTTACAGTTGCTAACACACACTACATTTTTTTTTTTTGCCTTTTCCCTATAGATGTTTAAACCTCAGTCTTTGACTGAGATATGGACGAATGGCTCTTTCTTCAAGATTCCCTCTTCCTTGTCTGACTCTATTATGGAAAAACAAAACCGGAAGAATTAAGTATCTCCCAGTTGTGCTTTCCACCAGAAAATTAAAGTATTGCAAACAGATTACTAGGCCACAAGAGGCACATTGTGGGATATATGATGACAGCAGGGCTTTGAAATTCAAATGTAGCTTTTTTTCTTTGAAATCCTGCCATGGGTGTAGCTCTCTCAGCACTGCCCTGAAGCAGAAACAGCTGCTTTAGTTTCCTTTTACAGTGATTTCCTAATCATTCAGTTGGAAGACGAGGAGCTCAATTCTATAATTTAGTAACAAGTGAACAAAAAGACATACTGTACTTGGTAATTTCCAGAACAGCTTTGATAACCCAGAATAATAAAAAAATCACAAGAATCTTAAGAACTGCATTTTCTGTGATCATGATGCCTCTCATCAATGCCCTGACAGATGCAGTGTACTAGAGCATCCAATCAACTTGCACTTAAATATTTAATGTGGATAAGACTTCAGCTTTTCTCAGCAGTGAAAGTGACCTTTAATATAAGGCTGAGCTACCCACTTACTTATTTCCTGTGTTCTTTTCTTTTTTTTTCCATGCTAAGTTCGAGTGGGTAATTTAATTAAAGTCTTTTAATTTTTACTGAATACCCTCAACAAGACTTTGTGTACCAATTCCTCAAGGCCAGTCCAATATATGCTGCCTTGTATTTAGGAAATTTGGTGACATCCTGCAGAGCTGCTTCTGGAAACTCTGTTTCTTAATGTTTTACTGTTACTGTGAAAGAAAGCAGAACACATCACTGCTTTTCTGGAAAATGTATTTGCGGGTCATTTGAACAGCTCATTCTTACAGTTTTGATAAGGAAGAAGAGAGCAAGGCAAAACTGACTGTCATAGCCTGATGAAAAAGATTTTACTAGTCTGGAGGCCTGAAATAATAGTTAAACTACAAGAACTGCAGGGTAAAAACCCCCTCCAAACAAATAAACAAAAAGTGAGTGGTGAGTATACAGAGAACAACAAAGGAAGATGAGACCACCAAAAACCCAGAATGAAAAGTGAAGGACAGGTACCAAACTTTGATGACAACAAATGCATTATATTTATTTATGAATATATACTGTACAAAATTACATTGATATTTTCCTGTTTTCCTGTCTTACCATTGTTTCATGAGGTCATTAATGTCAGTTTACACAACTTATTTACCAATGGAAACTTCTCATTTTAAATTTCAAGTTGTAGATGTCACCTTCTATTTAATTAGAATTCCTGAAACAGGCTGTTTGCTAAATATTTCTATTTGTTTCAATACATTGTCTTTTTTTTCCCCTACAAAAAAGTTTACTCTCTTTTGTATACCAAATAGTGTTCAAATATATCTAATGAGGGTTCTTGTTTACTTCTTGCTATTACCTAGATCCTGGCCATAGACAATCCTTCTCCATGTCCCACACTGGGTGAATTACACATTGCCAACAGACTTAACTCCTAAACTTGTAAAAGTGACAGAAGAGACACTGTCACACTTTAAACAGATCAGAATTTTACAGCACATTACCTCTCACAAGCCAACTGAGGCGAGACTGTCTGGCTTTTTATTATTGTTTTGAGAAAGGGAAAGGACAAAGGTAGAAGAACCAAGTGTGACTTTAAGTACAGGATATGCTCAGTGCAAACCCAGCTGACAACACACCGCAGTGTCCTCCAGCAAGCTCTTTCCAAGGCAAGTTGTACTACGTATAGCAGCTACCTTGTGTCTGTCATACAGCACTGCCAGTCCTAACACTGCAGCAATTAAGTGGCTCAATCACCAGTTCAGGGCTGCTTTTCTTACCTATGCACACAGAAACAGCTGTTCCACTGCCTCAGGGGGTTCCTTTTTTCTTTGACACCTACTTGGCACAAACTGTTTTGCCAGGTAGCTGCTGACACATTCAAACAGTTTTGCTGCTGCAGCTTCTTAGAGCTGAAGCCTGGAAGGCTCAAACATACACTAAGCTGCAAATCCTGCAGTGTACTGCAAATCCTGCAAGTGCTCTGTATATCCACATGTGTGGGGACTTCACTTCTTATGTCACATTTAAGATTTCTAGGCAACATTAGAGTTGCAGTGGGGCAGCAAAGGAGAGACCTAGCAGATATGACTGCCACAGAAACACAGGGGTAACAATGACATCCCAGCAATGGCCCTGTGAGAGGGACCATCCAATATTCACAAAGATGCTACCAGCAGAATGCCAGACAGAAGAACCAGAAGCACGATTACACATTTTAGTTCTCTTAAACACGTTAGAGGCACATTTTGTCATTCAGCTTTTATGAACCACAGTATTTTATGACATCTTTTATGATTTAGCATTACCTGTCAGGCAAAAGCTACACAAATACAGGCTCTTCACATCTATTTGACAAAAACCACCCCAAGACTCCTCATATTTTCTTACTCGTGCTTCTGTAAGGTAATTAAGAATCTTACTTGCTATGGGAACACCATTTGCTAACCAGCTTATACTAGGCTTTGGGTTGCCATTAGCTCTGCAGATCAATGTTCCATCTTCACCAGGAGACAAAACCAAGTTTCTGGGTGCTGTTATCCAGTATGGAGCAGCTGGTTTAAGAAAAGAAAAAAGGCAATTATTTTCCAAAATTATGTACAGAAAACCATAAGACACAGGCATGGTAATCAGAAGACAATTCAAACAAGCTATGTGTAGATACAGACTTACAGCTATACTGTTACTGTATATGTACATATATATGTGTTTGTGTGTATATATATATATATAGAAATATATATAGATATAAAAATATAGATATATGTGTGTGTGTGATACTCAATTAAGTGATAGATCATACATTGGCCAAACTGAACCCCTGGTCACCCACTGCATTAAAATTCTGAGATAAACAACAAGAGGATCTTTGTTTTATTTAGGTTTGCCTGCTTTGAATCTAATTTGCCTTTCCTGAAGAAAGCAAAATTTATCTGTGTATGGCATTTGCAGACACTACAGTGGTATTCTGATTAATTTCAGAGATATCCATGCTCTTAGGCTGTTAGGAATTAATTTAGGTTTGATTACAAAAAAAATTAATTTAGGTTTGATTACACATATCAAGGGTGAAATTTTAAAATGGCAAAATCCTTGGTCTCACTCAATTCAATGGCTGATTGCAGTGGGGCCAGATGTTTACCTGAGACAGATAAAAATATAAGAGATCAAAATGGGTGAAACACTGTCCTTACTAGAAGATAGTCACATGTTTCTCCATCCTTTTCTACAATAAATATCCACAAACAGCATATATTATCACATCTTGCAATTAATTTTCAGATTTTGGATTGATGGACAGATGCAAACAGAAAATTAAACTTCTGTTCATAGAAAGGAAGTTAAATGTGATCATAAAAAGATGCTGATCTACAACAAAATAAGGGACTATTTAGCATGCAAAGTAAGCAATACAGCTGATTATTTCAATGACTAATTAACTGTCATTACAGTTTTTTGTTTCATGGTATTCACAGCATACTTACAATTCCTATTTAGACAAACATGTTGTAAATGTTTTTAGAACTATAAGGCATCATCTTGGGTAAAAAACATGAGGAAGATAGGAACAGAAATATCAGTAAAACAGAAAAAGGAAGAAAAACAAGACTGTAAGGCAATAGCAAAACAGAGGAAATAAATAATTTGGGCTATATGAATGAAGAAAAATGGAGAAAATGAGGATGAAATGATGAAGAGAGAGAAGGAAGAAGATAGAGAAGCAAGAGAAAGAAGTGGTCTAATGATAGATAATCAAAGGATCTAAAATAAATGTAGTACGTGTGCAAACTAAGGCATTACCTTACTACTGTTACAGTAAAATACCAGTTTAGCTTGATGCTTTCCAAAGGAACATCAAAAGATGAAAAGATATTATAGATAGGAAAGCCCTTCCAGTGTTAGAATTCAGACAGTTGAATGTTTCCTCAGGGTGATTTTTAACCATTATCAATCATCCTTTTAGCTAGACTTTATCCTAGAAAGCCTGGTTCCATCCTGCATTCTGGACCCTTGATAACATTACATTAAGGATAATTTTAGTATTACCTTTCACAGTTACTGAAATGACATGATGAACTGAACCTAAAGTATTTCTTGCTATACATTTGTAGTTCCCAGAGTCAGCTTCTGAAACATCTATAATCTTGAGAGTTTTCTTAAAGTTTTCAAAAAATGTTCTGTTGGCTGGCAGTTCCCCACCCTCCTTGATCCAGCGGATTACTGGTGTGGGTCTGGAGAAGTAAAAGCACAGATCAAATTTCAGGACTGAAGAAAAGGAAGGGAGGAGTTCAATACGTTAATATTTTTAATATGTGTTTTATAAATAATTATTTTAAGAGCCTCTACCCAGATTCTGGGCCACATCCAACAAATATGAAATATCTGCCAGCATTTGTTTCTAGGAAATGACAAGTCTCACCAACATTGTCAATGGCCATCTGTTCATAGGATTAATAATTACAGAATATATTTGTCTGCTGATTAACCTAAAAAACCTGATGGTTAATAAATGAAGACAAGCTTCTATTATCAAAGTGATGCTTATGGTGCTTTTATAGGTAGCTTCCATAAAATGACAAGTTTATAATTGTCCTTTGTGTGAGCAATATCCTAATGCTTCACGAACATCATAAAATTCACAAAAGAGCTGCAAGGAGATAGAAACATTTATTGTGAGAAATCAGGAAAAAAATGTCAGTGCTGAGCCAAGTATAGCTACTTGCCACTGCACTGAGTCTAAATCTTGGCTATGCCCCATGTTGTCCACTGAAGCTGAAAGTTGCTCAAGCACAATTGTGTTTGAACACAATTGTTTTACGGAGATATACTTTGAAAATGACAAGAAATTGCCATTTTTTGCTTACTGAATACAATGTCCTCTCTCAAATGGTAATGGCTCTAAGCAAATGTTCCCTTAGTAGTCTAATATCACGTATTTTATGACAAGACACCTAGCAAAGCTGACTTTTAATTATAGTGTCAGTGATTAAGAGGAGTTATTTCAAATAAAAGCTGAATCTGACCCTTTGTAGACAACAATTTCCTCACTGATTATTTGTTTTTTTAATTACATGATAGCTAAAGACACAAAGCCATATAATATATGTCTATGGTTTTTTCACAGGTTTTATCCAGCTGTTTTACTGGAATTTGGATCACCTAATATTGCAGGGTTGTCAAAAGGCATATAACTATATTTCAGGTGAAGATTACCTGGGCTGGTGCTAATTCCACTCACAGGGGTGGTCTTGCTGGTGCTGCTGGGGCAGGCACCTGAGCAGGCCACGGCTGAGACAGAAATACTGCACTGATGCTCAGATCAAGCTGTGCCTGGGCATCCCCTGTGCATGGTGCTGTGGTGCAAGATTTGCAATTATTGGCATTCCTCATGGCTACCTGAGAGCACTCTGCCTTTGGGCATTGCAAACATATTTACAGTTCTTGAAATAGGTACTAAAGGTTTTCTGCTTCTATTCTATAACCAATCTATTCTCAGATGTCTTCCTAAGAATGAAACTGATTTAAAGGTCAACATAACTCATGAAGTTAAATTGCTCTCAGTAATTTTCTTTTTGCACAATAACCAGCAGAAGCAAACTTGCCTTGCATTGAAGAAACAAGTACCAATTAAGCTCAATTACAATGAGAAATTAGAAGTAAGGACCTGAAGATTTGTTCTAAAAATTCCCACCTAGCACTAAGTAATTATTAACACATATAAGCAATTTTCTTGGATTAGAACAGCAAATTCTTATCTATTTTTATATAATTTGAGAACCTAATGACTGTAAACTTAGGAAAACAACAGAAGCTTTATTCCTGACTGCAAATCTGTGGATATATGCCTGAGATCAGTCTATAGCATTTCTTGCCTGTGTCCTTTAAAAACAATGGCACAACCCATATCCTGTGCATAGGGTTTGGGGATATGAGAAGGCAGAGGCCATACACATTCATAGCCAGTTTCAGTCTGTAGATGCCCAAGTAAATGGTGGAGTTCTTTAAAAATGCTCTTTCCATCTTACACTTCTGCTTCTTTGAAACGCGTACATTTATACAGCGGTCATGTTTTTATGCATCTCTGAAATGTTTCCCTCTGTTTCTATTTAGGAAAAAAAAGTCTCAAAAGTGACTCACAATCCTGCTGCGATGCACTCCAACAAAAGCACATTTCCTCTGAGTTCCACTTTGGTACTTGTGCTACCTGTTGGTGTTAGAAGAACCGGCTGCCTTTCTGTAACTGGCTTTGCTGGAACAAGAGGTAGTAAAACAATTAATTTCTAAATTTTATTCTGATACCAATCAAGTACATACATCCATTTTCACATTTTGAACAGAGATTTTGCTCGACATTGGCCATTTGATTAAAAGTCATTGTGCAGCACAACTACAAAGCTGAACACATTAGCTTTTTGACAGACGTAACATATCTGTTAAATGCCACAATTTTGAACACATAGAAGAGAAATGTTATTATTAAAAGACAGCAACAACTGATACAAAGCTTATACATAGGCAACTGTGCAGTCTTAATCCTAAATAGCTGCTGTTTTCTTCAACAGAACTATAATGGGGAGTAAGGACACTGGTGTGAGGTACAGTGCAAGACTGAATGTTACTGAAAATTTCTGGCCTTCCATCAAAATAAAAATAAAGCAAAGTTATTTTTAATCAGAAATATAAACCAAGTGAGTGAAAGGTGTTTTGGAATGTGTTTTAATATTTTCTAGATAATGTGAGGCATTGTATCAGAAATTAATCCTAGTATTTTCCTCTTACTATATATTTAACTTTAATTTAAGCTTTTCCCAAGTCTTGCAATACAGAACCTTGATTAACATGTAAGCAATAAACGCAGTAAAAAGGCAGCTATAAATATAAGACTCATTTCTGATATACTCTGTTGGCTTTTGAAGAATATGGTATTTCCTATGCCTTCATGGAATTCAGAATAAGTTTTCTGTAATTATAGATTGTTTTCTGTGAATAGTATAATGTTCTCTTGCAGCAATATTAATATATAGAATTAAATGGCTTTGAAGTGCTGTAAAAGTCAAAATCATTACAGTGAATAATTTTGTTTTTTTTTAAAATGGGATTAGAAACATAATAAACTCAAAGTTTGTTAGGGTACAGGATTGACTGATACGTTAGCATAAATACAACACTTCATCTTAATCCAGTATGTGCTGTGAATTTCTTAATAACCCATACACAATCAACTCAAAGTTGTGGGAGAACAGAGAAATCCAGAGTCAAGAACACAGCCAGCAGTCACAGCAACAACTCACCTACTCAGTGCTGGCACTGCCAAGGGCTGCAGACTCACTTGGCCAGACTGTGAGTGTTCAGAACAATTACCCGTGGTGGTTCTGAGTTGAGAGCCAACCCAGCAGTGCTCTCCTCACTAATTGTAGCAATACATTGTTTTGTGTTCAGGTACTTATTTCTTGTTTGTCCCTCCTGAATAACATGTAATTTTTATGTAGAGAAGTAAAATATTCTGTGCCCATGTTTTATTTTAGATTAATATAAGTTATGGTCAAATATGCACAAAGCCCCATTTCATAAAGAAAAAGACAAAAATATTGAATAAATATGTGGAATAAAAGTACTGTCTATGTCACCCAATATCAAGTGGAGAGTCTAGAATCAGTGGTGCTCCAAAGTCAGCCTTCCTAAACACACATACATCTGTTCAGGAGGATTAATTCAGAACATACAAAAGACCATTCAACAGAGATTAATGGAAAGACCAGCTTAAACACCAAACAAACAAAACTTATCCTACCGCTAGGAATTTATTGGTACATTCAGTAAGTTATTAAATGTGAAGTGGATCTGTTAGGTGCTTAATTGTTGTTATTTATTATGCAGCATATGACATTGAATAGTCCTAGTGATAATGAACATAATCAAACTACTAGGTAAATTGGAAGAAAAATATTAAAAATCAACACAGTATAGTTTTTAAAATCTGCACCAGTGTGAAAGTGATCTTATTAGAAGTGTTTATATTTTCTATGAGCTGTATGTTACAAGAGTATTGAAAAATTAAATATTTCAGAGCATCACACTGTGCAGTCCCTTTGCAAAATATGTATTATCACCAGCACTAATTGATACCTTCATTAGAAACTGAAAAAGGAGCAAAAGATTAAGTAGCCATGGAGGTGAAGTTAGTTAACTAAATGCTACTGTAAAACAAGGAGTATCAGTGGGGACCAGTGTAACTCACCACCATAAATATCAGTGTCACTCAAATTAGCAGCTATAGTGTCATTCAATGAATCCACTGAAATAAACAGAATATCATGAAGAAAGCATAAAAAAGGGAAAAATAAAAGTTCTGGGAATCAAAAGGTGATGACATGGCCACGGTGAGTTAATCACATGATTGATTAATTTGCTTCAAGAGTTACAATAATTATAATCACTTCATATTTTTGCCCTGGAAAAACATTCGAAAACTATTTTTTTTACATTGTATATATAAATTCTTTAACATTTTTTCAAAACACAAAGCCTTATAAAGTGAAGAAATGATAGCTTTTAAAATCAATTATATATCAAGAAAACTGGAAATTACACTTCAAGTCTATACAGTAATGTAATTTCTTATTCAAAATTGAAATGACAAAATTCCCTAGCATAACACTACTTAACTTTAGCACGTAACTTGAGAACTCTGGATAAATACTGTGTAAGTATGTGATTTGGTGATGCAATACCTACTTGAAAGGACCTTTACAGATATGGGTTGTTTCTGCTGTATAGTTTGCGTGTGATTAAATCTTGCGTAGCAGATATAGTCCTCCCGAGTGTCTTCTGGTTGTACATTAGAAAAATAAAGATCTCCATTTAGACCTTGGGAAACTCTTTCACTTTGAGGCAGCCTTTGGAAAGCTAAGAGAAAGAAAGAACACATTTATGTTAAATATAAGTGACACACTCTATTATTATGATCTGCAGACTCCACATTCATTCAATTACACTTGTTTGTGCCTTGGTACATGTACAGACATTTCTAAGCTTCCTGATGAGATCCCTTTTCTACCCATTCTTCCCCAGTGGGTTAATCTACAACTTACGTTAAGATCTCCAGCTGCTTTTGGCTTCATGCTTTTGGGCTGTATGGCTGCTTGTTTCCTCTGTTCTACAGAAATGGAAATTCACTGGATTTTACCTTAGAGGGAAACTTCACCATCTGTGGTTTTGGTAAGCAATGATGTACTACGTAGAAAAACTGCAAAAAGTCAACTGCTTAAGAAACAAACTCACCATTATCCATCCAAAATATGATAGGTGGTGGCAAGCCAACAGGAGGTCTGCAGTGCAGTACTAGTGAATCACCTTCGCGAACATGATTTGGTTCCAGTTTTTCTTTTGTCCACAAAGGCGATCCTACAGAAAGTGGTTTTGACACACACACAAAATTTGGATTGGCAAAAACTCGAAAATTTAAAGGGAAAATGCACAAAGTACTCCAGAGAAATGAAAGAACTACATCCATCAGAATGTTAAGTCCTTTCATGTTTGCTTAAGTTTTTATTTTTGTTCTTCTTTATGTTTTCTTGGAAGAAAAGTACACCTGTGATTTACTGAAAGTATAATCAACTGATTCAAATTATTTTGAAAGGTTTTAAAAGGTTTTGTAACAGTATCTTGCAAATTTTTAACTATACTGAATAAAAAGGTGATGTGCTAAAATAGAAAAACAGGTAGACATTTCTGAAGCAGTATTATACACAATGTCTTTAACTAAGATGTGAGAACAGCACATATTAAGCTGAGAAGCTTGGAAACTAAACTGAGATAAAGCTCATAAAAAGCTGTAGAAACAATCTACCACTAGTAAAAAAATGTTAGATTCCTTATACTTCAGATATGTTATGCTTTAAAGATATTACAAAAACTATGGAGTACAGACTTCATAAACAGAAAAAAAATTGTGATCATCAATTATGTCACCCATGTCAACAAATTATCCCTAAAGCCTTACAGATTTAAATATTTTATTCTAGCAGCTAGTGTCATACATACAACTCAGTTTTAAACATTATAAGGTTATCCAGATGTATCAAGAAAAAATTAAATTAAAAATAAATTTTAAAAATTAAAATTAAATTTTTGTAAAAAAACATATTTGAGAGAACCTGTAATACAGTAGTATACCTGAGTATTAGAAAATAGGCAATAACTTCTAGCATGGTCACTTGGATGACTGAAATTTTAAGACAGGAAAACAAAAAGGCAAAAAGTTCATAAGCAAATAAAACCAAAGTGTTTCACACTTTATGAGCATTAAGAGCTTTACTTACTAGAAGGCCTTATAACGATATTGTTGGAAATGGCTGCTCCTCGTTCATTCCTTGCTGTACACTGGTAAACTCCCTCATATGCTTCTGCTTTCCCACCATTCATAATATTTATGACAAGAGTCCCTGAATTTGGTTTCATTGTTACCTGTGCGTCTTTATCTATATCAAAATGAGTTCCATTGCGTGTCCAGGAGAAGCTAAAACAATAAAAACAAAAAGAAAAGTTTATTTTTAGCTGCTTTTTGTAGACTGTATGAAGAAAAAGAAGAAAAAGCAATCAACAAAAATACATATTATTTTTTCATTAGCAGATAAGTAAGACTCATTCCCAAACTAAATTAACTAATAAAGCAGTACAGAAATTTTGCTATAAGAAATCTGGCAGTATTTCAAGATAAAAGATTTGGCTGAACATATTTACAAGAGCTATTTCAAAGTTAATTCTTAAAAAAAAAATACATTAAAATTTCTGAGGTTGATCATACATGGAAAATAACTGATTTCCTTTCTACTCAAAATGAAGCAGTAACATCTGCAAGAACTGATATTGCTAAAGCTGCATTAGCATTTCCATTATGAAACCTCTTGTTGAAAGTGTTTATAACCCTGTCTTTTAAAACTTGCTAAGGGCTGAAATGTGTCATCTCAGGCCCAGCAGGAGACCATTTATTTTAATTGGTTTGGTGATTTTGAAGTTATGCAAGTGAATTAAAGACTGTGGTGAGTTTGAGTCCTTTTCACTATTCTAATGCAAACATAATTCTCTAATAGAAATTATATAATCTGAGAGCCTTTACTTGGCTTAGTAAATTTATACCAACACTACTCAAAACAATAGATATTTTGAAAATAGACTTTAAAAATGAAGACTCATAGAACTCATAAAAATTGTCAAGAAGCAGAGGTTCACAGTTTACAACTTAGACCATAAACACTTTCTTACTTATGCTCTGTTTATGGTCGTGAGAAGTATAGTCACAGAGAGCTTGACCAACACCCATGAAGTGCTGAGCGCTCCCAGCTTCAAACACCGTGAACAGCAGTTTTTGTACTTGTTACATTTCAGCTTCAGAATCTTAAGCACAAACACTTTTTATGCTGGTTAGAATGCTTCCTAAAGTATAAATGTAAATGGCACTAGAAAAGCTCAAATTCTAACAGACTCAAATTGCGCGTTGACCTTCTGCAGCAGGACTGGACATGATACTTGCACCTTGTGTTGGGGGAGAGAAGGACTGGACCTGCAGCAGTGCTGCACCCCAATGCAGTGTTTTTGGGAGGACTACCATGGATCATGAACTAACTGAACTTCTTTCTTACAACTTTGCAGGTGAAGTTTCGGAATGTGGGGTTTCCATTACCAATAATATTAAGAATGCAAAAAAGTGTAATGTGGATTCAAATGAGAAGTGGAGAAAGTGGAACAAACCCCTGAATTTGAGATGAGTGACAGTCAGTCTTTGCTGCTCTAGCTATAGGTAGCATTGCATCCACAAACCTTTATGCCAGGTGTTCTCACCAATAAGAAGTTATCACACTGATATCACACAATTCACACTGTGGGCTGAGAAAGTCCATGTTCTCCTAGTTCTTCCATACTCTTAGGGCAATAAAAGCAAAAAAAAATTAAAAAATGCTACTAACCTAGGAGGTGGCTTTCCTTTGGCTTCACACTGTATTACAATATTCTCTCGAGGGTCAACAATGTAATCTTTTGGAGATTGCTGAGTTATCGTAGGAGGCTGTGACACTTCATTATGAAATACAACAAAGAGAGATGATTTCAACAATATTTTCAAAGCATTACCAAGACACTTTTGTAAGCAGAGAAAGAAGAACTGCAGTTAGTAACTAAATCACTGACAGAAGAGTAGGATTAAATTATCCTTTGTATCAGGAGGCTGAAGCTCTCTATCCTTGTAAATCAGTGTAGCTATACTAACTTCCAACTGAGCTATCCTGATTTACAGTGGATGAAGATCTTGGCCAAAACATTTAATGAAAATATCATTTCTATACCTCAGATTTCAAAAGATTTTCATAAAACCAAAGGACAAAAATTCTAAGTCCAACAAATCTGAAATCAGGAGTCGCAAGACATAAACCTCCACAAAATGTTTTTTTATCACACAGAAGGAAAAAATATACATAGCTTTGTGCTTCTAAATATTTTGCGTATTTTCAAATTCTCTGTGGGTGAAACCTCTCCACACATTTATTTTGCTTATGATATTGCATTAATCTACAAAGCATGCTTTTAAGAACTACTTTTCAGGAGTAAAAAATGTGTTGTAAGAAAATACACTGTTAAAAATGACAAAAATAGTATCTAGCTTCCAAATAAAGTAAACATGTAGGAAAATTAAGGCACCAATCCCCCTTAAGAAATCCATTAAAAATATAGTCTGTGAAGTGTCCCAGGAGAAGCAATCATTTAACATCTGTCATTTTTCAAGTACTATAAAACAAGTAGCACAGAACAAAATTGATTCACCTGACAAAGTAGTTGGTGTCTACCTATGGTAATTTATAACCTATTACCATTATCTATGCTCATTTTTGCATTAAAAAACACTGTTTGTGATATTAAGATAGTGAGAAAGGTGTCTTCCTCAACATTATTCATTTATTTATAGTTTAGTGTCACCTAAATAAACCTGTTTAATAGTACACCCATGAACATCCCTGTCTAAGTGCTGTAAATCAGCTGTCCAGCAATACCCTTTGCCTGTGCTTTGGGGTAATTGCTAGTCACTGGAACAAAATATTTCAGTCATTAGAGTTAGCTGTGTTCTCATGCCTCACTCCAGACAGTTAAAATTCTACAACTGGGATTTTTATTTAAGTCTTGCTTAAGGATACCATTACACATTAAGTACTCCTTTGCACAGACAGAGGTAGCTGCCTGTAAAACTCTATCTGCAAGAAACAGCAATGAAAAGAAATGGAACCATAACAAAACACAGCAGCCAAGCAGAACAGAGCAGGCCAGAGAGAACTGGGTTCTGCTCCTCACTGCACAGGGGAGAACCCCTGAAAGAGGAAGGCAACATTTTTACATGATGCCTTTGTGTGTATTTCTTTAGGAGTACTTCAAGGCAATCCTTTTCCCTCTCAGAGGCATTTCTCAGGGTCATTATATATCAGATGCTTACTTGGGAAAAGCAGATTCACTCTGAAAAAGGATATGACACAAACACTGCCCAGCCTACAGGATATTCCATCTGATGCACATCAAAGACCTGCAATCTCCACTCCTGTGTTATGGACTGCACTTCAAACTGATTAAATTAACCATAAAACTAAAGCTAAGTTAGAACCCATAAAATATGAGGTCTACTTAAATAGCTATACCCACTGTGGATATAAAAATATGTCAAATCAGATATGTAAAATAGTACAAAAGTACCTATATTCCAATAAATTTTTTATCAAATATATTTACTCCTGAAAGTAGTAATAAAACACTGAACATGCTGATATTGAGTGTAGACTTTAATGTTAAAATAGCACACCATCAAAAATCACACAATTAATTTATTCAGAATATCAGAATGTTGTTTTATGTACATTAGTATTTTCTGAACACTGCATGCACAAAACATCTAGATACAGCAAACCAAATTATCAACAAGATGTCAGAATCACACATTTTTGGACTGCAAATTCAATTTGCAGCACAATCTGTATTAATTTTCAGCAGCACACAGCTTATTTTTAGTGAAGAGTAACTTACAGTCTTCTAGAAGTTTTGCTTTTATTCCCACATCAGAATCAGCAGTTGAATGGACAAATGGAGATTAAAGAGAAACATTTGTTAGTGAAGAGAAAGTTAGCAATTTTGAGAGGGAAGACAAGTATCTCTGAGAAGTACATTGTTCACCATTAAAAAGAAAACATTTAAAACATTCAGCGCTGCAACTCATGCAGCAATGCCTGAAATTCCAACCACAATTTCCACTGTGTCAGATATTACTACATTTATCTTAAAGCTCTTGCCATGAGAAACCTTCCTGAAGTTGACTTTTTAAAGGCAACCATGCTATGTGATTTTGGCCTTGCAAGGACATAAAACAATAATATTGAGGTGACAGCAGCAAATCAGAATTAATGGAGTGCACTACACTCATGCTGCAGTCAAAATCAATCCACCCATACGATCACATGGAAGAGCAAAGAGAATGCCTCAGGTTAAAATTACTCTTTAAAAACAAAAGCATCTAATTCTACTCAATAGACTTGCAACTCTTTTTGGTTTGAAAAATAACTAAACAAAAAAATTCATCTTAGCTGTCAGATCTTTATTGCTTAATTCCAATGTTTTGCATAAACAAAAATTTATGTCTCTTTATCAATAGGCCAAATGTCCCCGAGTCCCCTACACTTTCAGTCATTCCTGGCCTGCTTTGAGGAGATGTTTGAAAAATAACTAAACAAAAAAATTCATCTTAGCTGTCAGATCTTTATTGCTTAATTCCAATGTTTTGCATAAACAAAAATGTATGTCTCTTTATCAATAGGCCAAACGTCCTTGAGTCCCCTACACTTTCAGTCTGCTGAGGAGGAGACACTTTGAGGAGACACTGACCAAGTGAACTTGGTATGAATAGGAATTTCTAACCTGGATGAAATCTAAATTTTCAACCAATCAAGTATGTTCTCACCAACAGATCTCTATGGTGGATATTCAGGGAAGACCCACAAAAAAATCTAAGTCTTTCCCTTGTGGTGCTTTCCCAGAGACCATTCTCACCATTGTTTATGAAAAAGACACCATCATTCTAGATGTAATTTCTGGCTAAAAATTCAAGTATGTGACTTTATCAGACCTCACAAAATTATTAAGCATGAAGTAGAAGGGAATTAAATTCTCAGTACAGAATTAAAATGGTACATCCAGAAGGGCTATTCATTTTTATCTATTGATGCATTTCTGCTAAATTTAACCCAAAATCTTGCTCTTAAGACAACAATATTAAAGAGGTGCAGAATTTATATTAGTTGCTAAACTACAAGATAGGTTTAAAAGACTATTTATAGCCTGCAAAGATGTTTAAGGAGAAAAAATAAGTTTCAAAAATAACACCTTCATTTATTCATCAAACTTTCAAAGCCTTCCTTAACCCACAGCTTATTCCTATAAGGGCATTTACAACACAACAAGTTGGATGTGATTCAGAGATATTGATTTTGTTACAGAAATACAGGTCATTGGTTTGATAGGCTTGTAAAATGCAAGGGGAAAAAAAAACCCACCAAAGCACTTGCAACATATGTCAATGATTATTAAAGAAAAACATGCACTTCTGGAAGGTAGGAAGGTATCAAAACCACAGGGGTAAAGAAAACCATGCAGATTAGAATCACAGGCAAATTTACTGATGTATTAATCCATCAATTAAACCCCAGCCCTAATGTTCTCTTCCCTGAAAATTAGTTTAACAGATGAATTGTCACTGAGAGGTGCAACATGGTTCACTGAATTCTGAAAATGTGATCATGTTCATCTTAGAAAGAAAACAGCAACCTGAAACACTAGTGATTTAATAAAATTAGTTATTGAGAATATAAAATGCAGCAACCATTGCTTCCTTTTCAGCATGGAGTGCTACCTTCAAGGTTCCCCACTAACAGAGTCTTATATCAGACAAGAACTTCAGATTGTGGGATTTCCCCTCCTCCAGAAGTTTCCTCATGTGTTAATGCTGGAGTTCCCTGCCCAGCACATTTCTAACATGTTTTTAAGTAAAAGTTCTTAACTGTTTTCAGGCACTACTTAAGACATCTAAGAGTCTTACTTACCTTTTTGCATAAAAAAAAAAGATGCTTTGAGTGTCTGAATTTTAGGTATTTGAATATTTTACTAGCTCTCATACCAGCTTCTGTGAACCTCTTCTCTGAAGGTAAGTGATTCCCTACAGCCACTAGGAACCGTCCTGGGATTTTTAGAAAATTATCAATATTATCTTACTTTCACAAACAATTAGCATTTAGCAGGGCTTTTCTGGCCCTCTTCAGTTTGATCACACAAAAGCACACTGAAGTGTAAGTAGGATTCTGCGAGAATCCCGTGTTACACCTCCTCAGCTGAACAATATAACTCATTTTATATGCACAGGTTTTGAAAATATTCAGTAAGTCAGTGTAAATATTTATAAAGTCCTGATTAAATAACCAAACACACTATTTTTAGCTCCATGTTGGACTAATCTTCAGCTTCCTACAGAAAATATTTAATTATTCTTCCATTATTCTGCACTTATTTATCAGGTTAGTACTTACAGTCAAGAGGTACATCCAGTGCAGAAATAATTTGGCACAGAAAGAGGACCAGGGAAATTTTGCTTGTAGGTATGCTCATCTTTTTCATCATGATTTTCGACTGTACTGAGTAAATCACACTTGAAGAATGAAGTTCAACTTGGTACGACTAGATAGCTTGCAGTAGTTATGTAAGTATAGACAAGAAACCTGATAAATAAAAAAACAAAAGAACAATATGCAGATATAATGGAGAGTTAAATGATCACATGCATCTTAATAATATTATGAAATACAAGCAGTCTAAATACTATATCTAAAGATAAGAGTTACACCATGTATTCTACTGAAATCCAAGAAATTCTTAAGTTCTTAGCTCATCTAGATCGTAACACTTTCTTAAAGAAGCTAGTGAAGAACTCCTACAACCTTACTGAATGGAAATACGAATGCCTCTCCTAAGCAGGATAAAGCATCAATCAGTCCATCTAGTTAAAAAAAGAGTATATACTAAAGATAACAGTCCTCTGAAGAGATTTAGAGGATTAAAGCTCTGAATGCCCACCTAGTCTCTCCTTCAAGCACCCTGCACCCTTCTTGGAAAGAGGCATTTTAGGCATCAACTCCAATGAAACCACGTCAAGCCATGAATTTGCTAAGTAAACTGTGGAATCTTTCTTCAGCTTTGAGTTAGGTATTCCAGTTTCTCCCCACTTTGGAACTCTTTCTAATAAGACATTTGTAGACTGAATACACAAGACTTCATGAAAGTGCTATTGTGTACTGTACCTAGGCTCCTATTTCTGGATATCTGATTCCACTCAAAATAGGTAACATCAAAATGCTTTGTCATTTCTAGCCTGAAATCAAAATATAATTAACTGTCAGCATATTCTCAAACATTCTTCTCCTCCTTTCATGTGTGACAAACTGTCGGAAATGAAACTTAAGTTCTTTGAAAAGGGTTAGATTTCCCCCCTCAGCCAAGCATGAGAGATCACATTAGCCATGCAGAATGATTCTGGTTCCCTTCTTATTTTCTGCGTTCAGGACCAAGCTCTAGCTGAAAATGTTGGAGCAGTGAAAACTATCTGCCTGCAAGCCCCATGAACATCACCAGTGACCTACAAAGACCTATGCAGCCGTAAAAATCCAAACGGTGCTTGCACAATGCACTCAGTGAATGAACATCCACTGAGAAAGTACTTTCCAGATGGATCAGAAAGTTCACAGTGACCAGCATTAATTCACCTTGAAGAGAACACTTGCTCAGCTCTGGCTACAGATATGAAACACAAAGCTATCCACAAGGAGTTAAAGCTGCAAATAAGCAGCTGCATTATGAATGTTAAATTAAGAGTTGTTTGTGCTTCTTGAAGTTACTTAAGCCAGTCTATGGTAAGAATTTCCCTCAATTTTCAGACTACAGAAGAAATTATGCCTCTTAATTGCTGCTGTAAATTATCTTTCTCTTTGTACAGTTCTCTGAGCGAGACTGGAATTAGAAACTAGAATTGAGATGTGGAGCTCTATTTCCCGTCCTAACCTGATTCTTACTGTCACTATCTGCAAAACAGATTTTTCTTTCAAAATAAGAATATTCCAGTAGGTTAAAGTTCTAGACATATACTAATTGGGGTTGCTGGGAACTGCTGACTGGGGCATCATGGGACAGGGCAGGCTGCTTATTGACATTCCAAACTATCTCTAGGAATGCATACTGTAATGTAACGACTAATTATTTATCATGGCAGATTAGAAAAACTACAAAACACATCAGAAGAGAGGACATCATAGCTCCGTATAATTATTTATATAAACTCGAACTGCACAAGCAGTCAAGGTGGCATGCAAACCTAAAATACTCAGAAAGGGGTTCAGACATAGAAGGAAAAATACTCAGACTTTCCTAGAAAAACAAACTGAACTTTGCTACATTTTAAATAAGCACCTAAATTGCTGGGGGTTGATCTGGAAAAGGTGAGAAGTATTTTCCCTATCCCATTTTGGCACATACAGTTTACTACACTTCTGCTGCAGCGAGCAAGGGGAAGGAGTAGAGCTTCTGTCAAGAGTGCCTGAGAACACTCCAGCATGTTTCCTGCAGTGAAGTGCTCTCCAGAAAAGCTGATTTTATTCCAGCAACCACAGCTGTCCACTCTTCTCAGTTAAAATAGGTTCTCACCCACTGTTCTCCTGATTAATATGTCGTCTCCTCATTACAATAGCACTGCAATTATCAAGGTGCCCTCTCTGTGCCATGACCTGGGATTTACTCTTTGAAGTATTGCACGCACAAGTGAACCTTGACTTCTATTGTTTCTTCTCTGTGCAACATTTCAGTTCTCCTTCCAAAACCCTGAAAACCTGATTATCCACTTTATTGTCTTGTTCTTTCAACACGTAAAATGAGTATTGCAATGATTTGAGAGTATTGTAAAATCAAATTGCATTTGCTTTGAACAAGTACAAATGAACACACAAGCACCGATGAATCAGGCAGGGGCAATTAAAATGACTGGAAAGTAATACTCTTGAGAAATTGTCTCATATTGTTTACCTCTGCTACTGCAAAGTTCCAGTTGGATACCAATTGAATCTACTGTTGGGATGTTTGGATATAATATGGGACTTCAACCTCAGAGAGCCAATGGGCCTAAAGGGTTTGCGACAGAATATTACTGGAAATTATTTTAGGTTCGTCAGCACAACTGGGTGCTCTTGCTGAATATATTCAAGATTAAATCTGGCATAATTTAATATGAATAAAACAGCTGAGTCAATTGAGGCTCCAAATGACAGAGAGGACACATTTTTCCTCTGGCTCTCTTCAACAGAAGCATACAACAAGTTTAGTTTCCTTGTAAGTGCTGCTGCAATATTTTTTTTTTTAGGATGTAAGAGTGTAAGGAAGTGTGTTTACTGAAATTCAACCTAGTGCAAAGTTAGACAGCATTTTCTAAACTCAATATTATTTCACAGACATTTGATGCACCACTGATTATGCATTTCTACTCAATTACATTATTTTTAAGACAAAAAGGTCTTTAGAAATGTGAACAGAAACCAAGGTCAGTGTAAAAAATGTGAAAGGGTTATTAAATTGCAAGACAGAACAACTGGAATACTTCATACACATTAGGAAAAAAAGCATTATCTTCTATATAAATATTACTGAATTAATGCAGTACAAGTTAGACACTGGAGATTAGAGAAAAACTATTACTTAGCAAAAAACTTCCTCTGCCTCATTTGTCTAATGCCTCTTTTTTTTTCTCACAGTGAAAGACAGATATAATTAGAATATAGGAAAAAGAAACAGTTTTCAAGGAAATTTGTTTCATAGCAGTCTTATATCCACAGAAAAATGAATAGCAATTTCAAATGGCATAAATGTATTTAATGATTTTTACATTTAAAAAAGTGTTGAAGATTATAATCAAAAAGCACAAAATGCTTGTTTTTGACGACAACAGCAATACCCTTATCACTTAATGGAAGGTCTATACAGGCCTTATGTGTTTTACACAACTATGCTATCTATGCAAGTATTAATAAGATGATTTAAAATATTTTTGAACAAATGGTTTCAAATTTCACACTTCTTTTTTAGGTTATCTAGTATTTTCAATAACAGGCCACATTAAAAAAAAACTCTAATTAGAAACAACTATTTAATTTAAATCTTTCAAATAGGAAGAGATGCACTTAGCGTTACACTACCTAAGCAGCAAAGACACAGCACTACTAGAAACAATAATGCTATATAACAAGAATAATTCTAACAGTTTTTATGGAGGTAATATGACATAATAGACTAAACACCCAGGTATGTGTTGTCAGACCTCTAATTAGAAACAACTATTTAATTTAAATCTTTCAAATAGGAAGAGATGCACTTAGCGTTACACTACCTAAGCAGCAAAGACACAGCACTACTAGAAACAATAATGCTATATAACAAGAATAATTCTAACAGTTTTTATGGAGGTAATATGACATAATAGACTAAACACCCAGGTATGTGTTGTCAGACCCAAGTAGTACTCAAAATTCTGCTCTTAAATAATCTTGTAGTCAATTCAGTCCCAACTGGTTTGCTTTCTCCATCCATCTCTTACCTATTAGATGCAAATTATCCAAGCTAGGGTAAATTTTCAGATAGCTGGTCTTAATCTACTCACCACAGGACACATAGCTTTAGAGTGTCTGAATAGAGGTGCCAGTAAAAAGAAATAATTTTTAAAACATTCTAAAAGCACACCTGTCAATCCAGGACAGGTTTGTCATGGTTTGACAACACCACATTAGAAATATTCCTCATCTTTTAGAGCCCTGGAAAATACCACACTGCTTTCCTCCAAGTTTTTAATTTTTCACTATCTAAAGGATAAATCTATCCTTTAAAGTCATCGGAAAATACCACACTGCTTTCCTCCAAGTTTTTAATTTTTCACTATCTACTATAAATCTATCCTTTAAAGTCATCACGGAATACTAAATCATCTTCTGTGATCTCCTGTTGATGAAGCCTAAGCCCATTGCTTTGGATTTAGCTACATTGTAAATGTTATAGGGACATCCATTTAAAGAGAACTGGATGAAAAATAAACTACACAGAACTCTTGAATTCAACAAGGTCTCCTCAGGACTAATTCACATGGTTCAGATACTTATTAGGGTTTGGTGTTTATATGCACTTCGCCATTTTCAAGCTATTTTGACAAAGGCAGATGGCCTTGTGTGCCACACTCTAAATGTTCTCAGCAATTCTATATACAGCAAAAAATCATCAGCCTGGTTACACTACTGAACTGCCACTACACTCAGCATTACTGTTTTGGCTCTGAGAATGAACTTAAGCATTCATGGTGGTCTCCCTCCTTTCCACAATCCAGACACAATTTAGAGTCTCTCTACCATCACTTTCTATTTTCAACTATGGGAAAGACACTTAGTCCATGAAACTTCTTTACTAACAATGCTACATTAAGACCTGCCAACTGGTTTGTAATTCATCAAAGTCTGGTCCGTTTTGTTACATAGTTCAATTCATGTTTTTATTAATTGGTTTCACGTGGCAGTAAGTGAAATGCTTTTCAAAGTCTTTTACACTGACACCATCATCTTATCAAACTTGTAATTTTACCAGATATTAAAATATTAAAATCAAGTTTTTGTCAATCATTTGTTTTACAAGCTCTGATTCT